GCTCGTGTAGGTTGTGCCATTTGTAAACTAAAGTTTTATATTTCACAGTATACCAATCAATCGAGTGTATACCTTCAGCCCCACTGATCCTCTCAAAACTTGTTTTTTGAGATATTCCAGCTGTAAGGTATTGAGTGACGGCTTGTATTAACGCTTGAACTGTAGTAATCCATCCAGGCAGAAGCCTTCTCCTACTTTAGTGAATCCAGCATTGAATTACTTATTCCCCCAACATATACATGCCGTAAAGAGCATGCTTCTCTCTTCGATTCCGGGGTAGTCAGGGAAGTACAAAGCGATGAGTCAGAGCTTGCATGCAGGCTTAAACAATAACGATCCCTTCATGCAGGAGATTCTTTCTAATTCAGCATGATTTCCATCGATCTCTATTTAACATATATGCCTTAAGGAGTATTCTTCTCTCTTTATTTGCAGGGCACAAAGAAAGATCCATCTGCAGGGGGCTGTTAAAATCCTTGAGTACTTCCCTATCTTCACGGCCATCATACTTTTATGCTTGGCATAACTTCATCAACGCGTATGTAGGCATTTTATTGGCTAAGAAGGCATGCCTTTCAACCAGCTGAGGGGTGGATGTGTTAAATCTACTGCCAAGCCGGCCTCCGCTGCCTCATGAAACCTTGTGCCACCTTTTACGTCCATCGTCACATATTTTCCTTCAGGCTGATGCCCCAAAACAATCCGTTTGTTGACGATTGAAGCCATTTATTTCTTTTGCGAAGCCATGACATGAAACCGCACACAGTGGCAGTGCGTGAGCGGGGAGCAGCATCCCCAACAAGGTCTCCGACGCATTCTAGCAATGCCCCAGCAATTCACTATTGTGCAGTGCAGCAGCTCTTGCATGTGATGACTCACGACTTTTATCGAAATTCAGTCAGGCCAGTGCCTTGTACGCCACACACCGGTGACTATTTCCAAGACACAAAACACCAAAAATGTGAAGCTTTACCTCGTGGAGGATGTCCTCCTCTGGCAAAAAGAGCGACGAATCCGTCGCTTGTGCTTTCTGACTGCGTTTCGCAGTTCCTCAAGCCATGCGATTCTCCCAAACCCAACCCTTTTGCAAAGCCTCCCAGGCTCTGGGACGATTTTGACTAATTCGACCATGGACTTTCTTGTTTGACTGCCAGCGGTCAAGAGTCAGGAGAGCATGCACATCGCTGTTGATCGACTCAGACAAGATGGCCATAACATTCCTTCCTCCAGCTCTGTCACGGCTTAGAATGTCGGACTTCACTGCCTGTGGTTAGAATGTTTTGGTTTGAATGCTTCACGCTAGGCGCCAGGCATGGCATGCCTGGCAGTGATTGTTCTTCCTCTATGCATGTCCTGCCTCAAACAGCTGCATTCTACCGTGGATCTTGCTTGGAAATTAAAATTTTCTAATGTGAAAGTTTCCACTAGATAGATAATGCGCAAAAAATCTCAGGTATGTTGTCCCTACATTCTTCCGCGTGTTTCTTTTGGGGGCTTGGAAACCGACGACGTTGCATGCTCCACTACAAGGCACACAGGCTCCGCTACACTAGTGTGGGTTTTGATTCCCTTGTTCGTGTTGCTTGTCCTCGGGTTACGTGTAGCAAAGGGATTAGACACTCAGCACTCCTACACACTGAGGCATCGCATCGACTCGATCGTTTTGGTTCGGGCCCTTGTTCGTTGTTTGATAGTATACGCGTTTCGTCCCGTCGGTTTCACAAAAATGACTGACCCATACGTTTGTTTTTCTCATGTGCACAGCTTTTACGTTCTACCTGCCTGGGTAGTGGTGATAGGGCGAGGAATTTTCCGCTTTCCTGCATGCATTTATTCTCGACGCAGAGATACGAAACATGAGGGCATGTGTTATGAAAAGGAAGAAGATATAGATGGCCAAGCTACAGTTTAATACTCTATCTTGCATTAGCTAGTCTAGCTGAGAACTAGCAAAATATTGACTAATTGGCCTGTACCGAGTGGCAGAATATTGTTTGCTTGAGGCAAAGAGGCGCTACGTTGCGTGCGTGAGCGCTAAATCCTCTGTGCAACTAGCTGTGGATGCTCGAAGTGCTTAGAGGGTGCGGCAACGCGGGCACTAGCTGTCCCTCCCCCGTCACGTCGGCAATGCTGCAGGGCACGGGTAGGGAAACGACGGACACCTTTCCTGAAAACACCTCAACATTCCAGTAAGTTTACATTGAGATTAGGGTAAAGAGTCGTCCTATGTGGAGCTTATTCGACGTGGACTGTCAGAACCGTGAATTTAGTGAATCTTTCTACAGCACTGGCCTCGAGAGTTAATCGCTGGCAAGGGCCTGAAGCAATGCATGCATGAGTAAGATATGGCTTGGGATAGCCACGCAAAGAAAGGATGGACGAGACCAAAAGCATTGGCTGCAGCCAGGAAGGCGGTATACGTACGGTTTCTCACTGTGTACCTTCGGCTAGTCATACGTGCCTTATTTTGCAGCTTCCACTAATGGATCCTCACACACAGAGCGCTGGCTGGAATGCTCGACAAGCGATGGCTGAATGAGCAGCCGATAGTCTGTAAAAGATGAAGCGCCGAGTGCTGTCTGCAATAGTCGAATGCTTCCGATAGACCTTCGGTTTTGCTTGACTTATTTGTGAGCGGGGCTTCTAGGCTTCCGCCTCCTCTGCACACTGAAGAATGACTCGAGACACTTCAAAAATGTTACGGCACTATCTCGTTCTACCATATATCGTTGGCATGTATGGGTGGGTCGGTATTTTAGGTGCTTTTCTACCCGCAAGGTTTAAATGCTTGCGCTCAAGAATCCTGCGGAAACGGGAGACACAAGCAGACTAAGAAGTCTCCCCACTGCTAGGGGACTGCCGATTGACCGCTTGCACGTCGCTAAATGGTCCTCCAGCGCTGCATTTTATTGGACTTTTTCTAGGAAAATGTAATTGCCTTTCTAAATAGCTAATTCTTTCCACAGGAGTACCACAGTAACAATTGCAGTGATAGACACTACTACAGCCACGCCCAAATAATGACGCGCATATCCATTGTAGTGCTCGAAGTTAAGACGGAGGTATGGCAAGTAATTCATGAGTTCCTTTTATACCAGGACTACACTAATGTATGGAGCCTAGATAGTCCTGTTGGTGCACTCCCGTACAGCTCCCCAATGATACCTCCTGTTGCTATGCTTGAAACCACAATTCTTACATGAGTTGGCTGTGGAATCAAATACACCAGCAAACCCACGAATTGACACAAAAGCAACTAAGCACTTGGCATCTACAGAATAGCGTAATTTGAGAAGACACGCTGCCTCCTCTGTGCGCACGATAGCGACTCGGACCCGTTTAGCTCACGTACATTCTAACATAGCGCTTTTTAAGACAGGCAGGTAGAGCTGCTCTGCTATAATACTCGCGAGCCGCACTCATTAGTTTGATTGCCCAGAGGCACCTGAACGTGCTACTTTATCGCTGCAAAACTTGAAGTGTTATTTGTGGTGTCTGGTAGCCAGTGTCACCCGGCTCTACCAAGCTGAAATACGCTAGCAAAGCAACTGACACTACACAGGCCTTGAGCATCACGCCCTAAACTTTCCGTCTGCCTGTTTCTCCACCTCCCCAGAAAAAGCAGACGCCGAATGCATCATGACACCGAACAACACTCCGTCAGAATAAGGTGAAAAAGCCGGAGATCGAGGATATGCGCAGAGCATTCACAGTTCGGTGGTGAGGGCAGGATGGGGGGTTCGGGGAGAGAAAAGGGGGAAGCAAGGAAAGCACGCGCAACGGTCAGTGAATGGTGAGCTGCAAAGAGGAAGCGCTGGCCAACATGTACGTTAGACACCAGCGAATTGCATTTCTATATACTTGAGCTTCATTTTTCGTAATTCGCATGCACCAGCTGGATAAGCAGGCGGCGTTAAAAATGAAGCAAGGCGAAGATAGCCGGCCAAGCGAACCAAAGCCAGAATCGTAACCACATTGTAAGTACATAAACAGACGACGGACTTTACACGCTGTGACTTCAGTTACTGCCCTTATGTTCGAGTACATCTCAAACTATCCATACTTCAGAGTACGGCCAATGTGTATCCTTATGAACATTCTTATAAACGCCCTTACCACGACTACCAACGAAAGGGGAAAGAAAATAAACGAATTGAGTCTAATTCACCGCGGTGCCTGGACGGTCTCGGGCGGCTACTGAACTGCTGCGCCGAAACATAAAGTCAATGGGTCCACGAAGTCCTAGGGGGCCACTGAACAACTATATATCCGCTGCTGTGGTGCCAACTCCTGAGCTTTGCAAGGGAGATGAGCATTGACCAAAGCGCTGCAACAAGTGCTCCTCTTTCTAACACTGCGCTTGGAGGAAACTGCACACTGATCGGGCCTTCCAGCATCAACGCCGCCTTGCTATTCCGGGCCATGCGCAGAAACCTCCAAAAGGAAAGCAAATACTGGGGGGAAAGAATACATCGTATCGACAGCAGCATCTCAACGCAAACTTTCCAGGCGATCGGAAGGACTGCAAAGAAACAACAAAAAGGGCGCACCGGCGACTCGCAGCAATGGGCTCTGAGTTTCCGCAAAACCTGTCAGTATGTGTCATATCGATATCCTTACATAATCAGTCAATCACAGTCGTACGTATAGAGAGTACAAAACTTGCAGGAACCCCACCCCGTGTCCACCAGACCTTTTGTTGTAGAGGATAGCTGCTCAATATAATCCCCCACTCGAGACACCGGTAAGCTCCACTTTTCGAAGTCAACTTCCCGCATAAGCTTTACTGTCTACACTTGTATTCATATAAAGCCCCCAGCCGAACCCTCCCCACAAGCTCGTCTCTCCCGTGAAATCTTCACCTGGTATGTACAACCATTACTGCTAGACCGTGCCAAAGCAAAATAAGCCCTTTACCCTGACAATTGTCGGCTAAAGGCAACAGTGAGGGCACGGGACCAGAGATGAGAAACGGAGATAGAGGAGGCCAGGAGTCTCACCTACGTCAATACAAAGTTGCTCGCTTTCAGCATGCGGGTTGCAAACCCAGAAGCCGATCCTGTCCATGCGATATTACTGCAAAAAATATCATCCAGTTACACAATAAGAAAATAAGCGATTTAAAGCTCACGGTCAAATGCGAATTATCGTCGCAAGTATACTGAAGACGCAGTACCCGAAGATGCATGCGCATTGCCATCACGTGAAAATCAGCGGCGGCCACGACTAAATACATCGGAGAGACGTATTAGAACATACTAGTGCTTCAGTATTTGTACAGAAAATCGCTCCACCGTAGAGGGAAGAAGCTTTGCAGACATATTTCTGGTAATGGCCGCAGGTATCCAACCGCCTGAATCGGATTCGTTCACCAGTGTCACTTCGCTCCACACTGCGCACAAAAGCACACGAACAAAGCCGAAAGGGAATGAAAATGCAGCCATGTAAGGCGACAGTGAAGTCAAGGTGGGACCATGAAAGCGAAAAGCGCTCATACACACAAGCAATGCTCCATTTTCTGGAGGCGACCCTCTCCTTGTCAGCTCTTACAGAAACACGGAAAACAGCTAGTCGTCAATGATTTCTAATAGACGCTTACGGCCAAAAGGAGTCCGCACGGGCCTCGCGAGGTAGGCGTTGATTCGAATATCCATCCGAACTCGGCCAGGGCTGCTCGCAACAAGAAAGGATGTAATTTGAGAAATCGGATTTGTAACGCTTAGGATACAACGCTTTAAGCACAGAAAATTCAAGAAACACGTCTTTCCTCTGATGCATTCAAGAATGTGGATCGAGCCTGACTAGGGGGATGTGCAATTCCTTTGAGTATATATATATATATATGCGCCGAAACGCTTGCATTGCTGCGCACGTTTCGGGTACATCGGGGTGGTGAATCGAGCAGCTCATCGAGGTGTATGCTATTTTGTCCTCTTCGGATGGAAGCACTTTCTCCGTCATGCAATCATCGGAAATAAAGTCCTCATGGCTGTTCCTCGTTGCCATAGGCGCTGTTTCCGCAACAAGCGGGTGCAGGTGCAGTCTGCACTTAGCGCGCAGCGTTACGACGTCTCGCGGATACACCGTGGCGATCCGTCTAAATGCAACATAGCAGATGTCGTGGCCGACGTCAAGCTGCTCAACCACATGCTGTTCAGTCATGTTCTTGTCCCACAAAGAGCGAAGCTCTGCGTTGCTCGCGAACATCGCATAACGGCGCGGCTCCAGCGGCAAAAGGAACGAAGCTGCGTAGCACATGCACACCCCACCCACGCAGGGCATTCCTGCATCCGCCAACCAAGCTAGCCAACCCCGCAATATAAAATCGCCATCAACTCTGCATGCATCCTGCGCATAGCGCACAGTAGTCGAGCTAGAAACCCGCCATTGCCTCCACAGGGCCAAGCAGTCGAGAGGCCCACCGGTTTCCCACTACGCAGCAGCGCCACATGACCACCGTACACCGCTAGGTTGCATGTGCGAATTCAATCATCTATTGCGCGCATGCACACTTGGTGATGACTAGGGCCAGTTTCAAGCCGTGCAAACACTTCTGCCCGGCCCATAAGGGTGCAGCTCCTGCTCACCGCGGCATGCGAAGTTTCCGACTCCCGTTTCGCCTTTCCAGACCTGAATGCCGTCGTTCGAGTGTACACATGGCATCTGACAATCTGCACTCAGCATTGAATGAATGGAAGCTCTGATCAAGAGGCCTGACAGTTCTTCCACTTCACCTCGGCGATCCCACACATGGCCTTCACGCGGGGGTCCAGCAGCCTGGCGCTGCAGCCTGTTGAACCGCATGCGCTGCTCTTCGAGGCTGTCCAGGAGCACGCCGAGCTTGTTTACGCCGATCGGCTCCAAAGACACCAGGGGCCACATGCCAACTTGAATGGCGAAAGGCAGTGCAGCAGGATCGCACGCGGCTCCAGGAACTGTTGCCAGCGATTCTGCTGCTTCTAAAGCTTCGGGTGTATCCGCGTCCGCCATGAGAAGCGACGGATCGGTCTGCGCCCTCGAATACTGTCCCTTGTCCGATGCTTCCCTCCCACCAGCTTCACATGCCAAGGAGCTGCTGATGGCAGCTCGTTCAGCCACACCATCGGAGGCAACATCCTGCGCATCCGGCACTGGCCCCTCTGCGTCCGCTGCATCCCCGAGCGAACGCGAATGGATAATGCACAACGGCTCGGAAAGGACCCCGCCGATCGCAGAAACACTTGTAGTTCTGAAGGGAGAGGCGCCATTCAAAGGAACTGCGCTGTTTCGTTCAGTTTCCCCCCCTCTCGAAACAGGAAGCTCTGCCGCTCGGGGAGCCACCCCTGCCGAGGATCTCCCTTCTGGTCTGCCATGCCACTGTTTGCCAATCGGTTCGTCCTGCGAAGCGCGCCTACGGTGTCTCAGAGGCATGCGACGACGCCGACCAGAGTGAATGGTCCCTTGGGAAGTGGAACGTGACTCACGAACGCGATGCTCATCGCGCACATATATGCACCGAAGGCGTCGCACTAGGAAACGAATCCATTTGAACTTCCGCGTGCGGACCAGAACTTGTGAAGGCTGCCCCTCGGAGGAGCACCCTGCAGATTCTGCAGCGGTGTTGCCTGCACTGATGTGGGGTGCTAGGCCGGTCGGAAGTACCCTGCTGTCCCTCATCGAGCTGCGGGGAGAGAAGGGCCCCTGATTCCACGATGTTGGTAGTTTGATGCCGGGGAAATATCGTTTCCAGCTGCTGCTGCTAATTGCCAGGAGTGACACTGCCTGGGATGCGGATAAGGCCCAGGCGTCGTGTGTTGGAGACCTCGCTGGAGTTCAATCCATGTGCACTTTTGACCAAAAGACGCATTCGGCTTCTTGAAACCTGAAGACTTTGCTGCAGTGTAGACACCTAAGGCTGCCAACTCGCTTTCGCGCGGGCTGGACCAGCGTAGCCTCTGCGTAGTCAGTTGCTGGAGAGTCGCCACGTTCTGTGTGTCCTACAGTTCCTTCTTCAGCACATTTTCTGCGCGCCTCCACGGAGTCGAGTGAGTCGTTCAGCTGCTGGCCCGACTTTGGAAGATCCGAGAAGGCTAGAGGGCAAAAAGGCGCAAAAATACCCGTACTTATGCACAACCAGAGGCGCGGCTGAAGCGGTGCTGTTTGGCTGTGTTGCGGACAAAAAACCGTTTTCTCGCAACGCTGCCTTCCCTCGCAACACGCAGAGCGCTGGCACATAGAACCGGACCACAAAACTCGAAATACGGCAATTAGTGTGGGAGTGGAAGACACACTGCATATCAAGGCGCAGCCAGGCGGCAACGCAAAGAAGCGTAGGGGCCCCAAGGACTGCGACAACAACTAGCGACAGGGACTCGCTGTAGGCTTCATCGGATAGGTGGAGCAACCATTAATGAACGGTGGAATGGTCGAAACTTTGGAAGCACAGATGCATCCTGCAGCAAGGAATGCAAGAAATCACCATTCGCATCTGTACGCGCGCTCGCCAATAGTGCGTAAGTAAAATGCGCACTATTTTAATAAAGCGCCCTCAAAATGGAAAGAGCTATACGGATCAAGAGGCGCCGCTTTCGCCATATTATTTGTGCGAGGTTGTGTGCAGGCCTAATGAGCAGACGTGCCAAGCGGTTGCTGAAGGACTTCAGCGCATGCACAGAGTACCAGGCAAGCAGTACGAAAATACGAAAGGGCTCTACCTGCTCAGCATTCTGACATGAAAGACGCAAAATTCAAAGAGTAGGTGAACATATGGCTAATGTCGCTGCAATAGGGCGAACCATGTAGCCGCCAAAATCCCCTGTGTGCCTGCTCTCGAAGTGGCACATGGTGATCCTGATGCAGCCCCAGTGATACTTGGCGAAGCTTTCTGTTAAGGCGCAATTGACGCTGTCTGTCTTCCAGTTTTCCAGTTGTTTGGAGTTTATTCACGGAGCGCTCCATTGTTAGCGGGCAGCGCCGTGGGGTGGAATCCGCTGCTTCTTGGCCGCAGATTCTGCAGCGCGGCACATCGGCCAGTTATTAGGGCTTCAAAGTCGCAGAGGCTTCTCTTCATACCCTTGGCTGACCAGTCTGCGGCACCTTGTGGATTTCAGCAGAGCCACGCAATCTTCTTGGATAGCCCTGCGCCATCCTACTTGCCGTATCCTGCATGTGTACTCTAGCTGGGGTGCGTCAAAATCCTGTTAGTCCTCATTTTTCATCTTCCGTTTCATTGAAGTGTGTATCTGGGGATTGGAAGCTACGAAGAGCACGCGAGAGCACTTACAAGCCGCCCCTGCTGACTCCACTTTGCGACGGGCGTGCCAAGCGTTTATAGGTTTCTGACAAATATTTAATCGTATGACCGTAATCTAGACCCGAATCTGCCTTGTCGAATGCATGCTGTTCGCGTAAGCGTGTACAGGCTCTTCCGTTGATGAGTCTTCCCTTGGTAACTTTTAGCTTTAGGCAATGAGAAACAGTGGTCGTGCAGCGGCATTTCGGCACTCCTGCCCCTGAGTGGATGCTGCGGGCTAAAGATGGAGTTCCTGCATTCGGCAATTCTTTTGTTGGTGGCCTTATTTGTTCCGCTCGTGAGGGTTGCAGCGGCGCTGGTGGAAGGGCATAACAAAACGACTGGGTCGCATTCGCGAGAAAAAGAGTGGGCAGGATGGCCAAACAAGCTACCAGGGCAGGAGCCTTCGCAGCTTGGTTTTGAGCCATCAAGGATAGCGGCCTTAGGTTCCGAGTCAAGGAAGGGCGACTTATCAGAGGCCTCTACGCAGCCACCCAATAATCCCGTGCCGCCTCCTCTCGTTGATTCCTCGCCGATCCAGGGGAACTCAGGCCCCCGCGAGACGCCCTCTGAAAGCATCTCAATAGATCAAGCAGGAGATGGTGGCATCTGTTTGAATGGTGAGACGGATAGCTCCTAGCTCGAGCAGTGTACTTGTGTTTGCTTGTGCAGCGGTGGATTATTTTGACGGGGTCATTCATTTATTTGATAGCCGGCGCTCGTATGTGCTCGTCTGCTGCGCAGGACTAAGGCTTGCCTTTGACTGCGCATTAAGAAGGGTCATAGCTTTTGGCGTGCGAGACCACTTGATTGAGAAGTACAAGCTGCCGATGGTGCCGCTGGACATCTGTCAGGGAGACACCTTGATTGATGTGGAGCAGTGCATTCCTGGCGATTTCGTAGACTCATTCCCGTCCGATGCTTTGCTCGAGGTATACGTGTATACATATATAGATATATATGTTAGCATGGAAGTCTTTAATCTTGCCTGTTTATCTCATGGGTGCTGCCTCGTGGCACCTTCTTGGTTCCGGTATTTCTCGTGGCTGGCATTGTTGCGAGCCGGGTGTGTTAACTCTCTGTGGTTGGAATCTGCGAGATGTTTTTGCAGGTGGTTCGAACAAAGCAGCTCATAGTGGGAACCATGGATCTGAGTGCATTCCCACAACTGGCATCGGACCAAGGCTACACAACCGGTTTCTACCCAGAGCTTCTCCAGGCTGTGGCGCGGGAGCTTACGGTGATTGTGCTGCAGAATCCTGGGTTGCGTCACGAGCTTGTAGGTGATCGTCAACTGGATATCGACATCCTTGACCAGCCGTTCCACAAGCGCCTCCACGATATAAAGGCCGCTGTTGCGCAGGAGTGGCTGTACGGAGCCACCTGCGGGGGAGAAACAGGCGTGGCCGCAGGGGGCTTACGCCGTTTGTCAGAAGTTCACGATGCTGGAGCGCCTGTCACGTATCCCAATGATATGATGCTCGGTCAAGGGGGTCCGGTATGGCATGATGGCGTACTGTGCGGAGATGCATCTGCCGGGGCTTCCACATGCGAGTTGTATGGCTGCTTATCGCCATGGAAACAGATTCCGAAGGACATTTTTATTGGAATCACGCATGTTACATTCAGCACCCCAATGAACTTGGTTGCGGCGGTTTATCGCGGAGAAGTCCATATGACGGACGTTGGTACCATTGCATCAGCCTATCTTCCGGAAAAATACAATTTTCTGCCGTTGCGAGAGATATTGGAGCCGTCTTGTACTATTGGCGCATGGAAGAGCTTTTTTCTATTGCGGGAAATGTCTTCGGGCCGGCGTAAGCGCGAACGCAAGACTTCAAGTCGGTTGTCAACATCTCTTGACAACAACGCTGCGAATCTCTCGTCAGCCCCCGGGTTGCCCGGAAGCCGTTCAGGCGGCGGAGATAATAACAGGGGCCTTCCCGCGGAGGGCGTCTCTCGGCCATTGGCAGGAAAAGACCTCCCACAAGAACGAACACACGCTGCCGCTTACGAGCTAGGGAAGCTGGAGCAGTTGGAGAGCTGGGAAACGCGCATGAGCCAGACACGAAAGCTCTTCTTCAAGCTGTATGGCGTCCAAGAGGAAGCCGAGTCGGCAGCAGGCGGTCAGAGCCAGCAGCCAACAGCATCACAGTCTGCAGGTGGGAGTAACGGTCATGGTTCCGGCCGCAGCTCAGATGCTGAAGCGCCCTACGAAGAGAAAACGCTCGTGAAACTCCATCATGTTGACCATTTCACGTTTTCTTACTTGTTTCCTGAGGATTTCAGGATCTGCAGCGTGAGAAGGTGCGTTAGGATTGTGGTGGGCTCTGCAGTTCTTGTATGTTTGGCGCATGAGCCGTGGCCTTACACATGCATTTCACACGTTTTAGGAAGGGGGGTCTACAGGAAGGTGGCTGGCGGCCCGTTTGAGCGTGGGCAGAGTGTTTTCCGTTGCAAACGATTGTATGAAAAGTTGGCTGCTGTGGGCTTGTGCTGCCGTTTCAGGCTAACAGACTTATCTTCAGTACTGAGTGTCGGTGAGCCAATAGGCGCATTTGGCTATGGATTGGCAGGACGAGGCGGACGGCGGCGAATACCGTCGAACTCAGCATGGCGTTGCCCTCCACAGCAAAGGCGTGGCCAGCGCATTCTCGGGTTTGGAATGCGAAGAGCAGAAATGGCGCCTATAGTGGATTCAATTACGCGGCGGAGGTTGTGCGGCTTGCACTCGACGCCTTGGCGTGCCGTCCGGGACGGCGACAGGCAGTCAAACATCATGGAATTCCCCGGACCACTTGTGCCGCTAGCGGCATTCTTTATGAAGCGCAGGGATGGAGCCTGCAAAGTATTTCATTCGCGGGCGGAGGCAACGATGATGGAGAAGCAGGCGCCAATGAGCTCTGCGGCAAAGTCATCGTTTGTGTTTCACCGTGCAGCTCTGGTTGTCTCGCTTGTCATGATTCTGCTTCAACTTTCGTGAAGCATGATCCACTCCGTTGTGGGGGGCATTTCCTTGCATCCGCTGGTGCAGATGGCACTTCGAGCTCGCCTGCGGTCCTTGGGGCAGTTAGTGATCGGCAGTTTCCTCATGAGGAGATCTTTTAGCAGTTTAAGCACCAAGACAGCACGTTGTTATGTGGCGTTGTAGCGGGGAGCAGAATTCTTTATATGCTCAGTGCCTTCGCCTTGCAGCACCGCGTATAGTCTATGTGGCAGGCTTTTAAGCACCCAGTAGCAGGCAGGAAGAGCAAATGCTGTACTTTGTAGTGTAATGCCTATTCAGTGGGGCCAGGAACCTTGCCCTCGGTGGCATGAGGCAACCCTTTCCTTTTCAGGGTGGCGCAATGGCCAGAGGGGTAGGCCTACATGGTCCACCTCTCAAATGATTGCACGGACAGCGTGAAGGCTCTAGAGATTACTACAGCTCTGGTGGGCTTTTCAACGAAGTTTAATACCGTGGGTTGTTTGCAGTAACAACTATACAACGAACGGAATTTGGATGCTAAAAATGTGAGATTGAAACAAGAGAAACGAAGCCGTGTGACATTGTCACTGGCCTAGCAAATGCGCAGTGAATTATGAAAATGCGTGCTAAAAGCGAAGAGGTCTGCACGGAGCGAAAGGCTTCCGTGCCCTCAAGCTTTCATCCACGGTCTAGTCACCTCACTCGGTACAGCTCGACAAACTCTTTCTCTATTTCATGGAGTTCAGGGGCGCACAATACCTGAAAAGGGGAAATCAGGCAGCAGCAACGCATTTATAGAAGCTGTGGCAGCGGGGCGCATCGCTGGAGACTAAAATGCAGCCGGCGAAGGGCTGGCTCACCAAACTCTGAAGCGGACCGCCAAGTTCAGCTTCTGCAAGTTCTTCAAGGCTCCCTGTTCAGTCACAATATTCATATCATAATCCCTAGAGGTTCTACAGAGACACTGCACTATTGCCAGTTGGAATGTGTCTCTTGTGTTTTCTGCTGGATTTTAGACAATACCGGGAGTGACTGAAAAGACGAGGGTCGGTTTCCCTACCTGAGACGATTGTCTGGTCATCAGCGCCAATGCGTGCTAACCCAAATGCCAGGATATCTCCAATCTTTTCTGAAAATGTACGCAGTGCGGAAGGCAAATACTACAGGCCTTCGGAACCGTAAGGCGGAAAGGTCTAGTAGCCAAAAGCGGCCTGAAGAAAGCTTTGTTTGCAAAAGGCCTATAGCAAGTAAGAGACAAATAAGCGCGGGCACTAGAGTGGACAGGAATATAAGCTGCAGTCCCACACCTCCGTTCTGCATCTCAGAAGCCTCAATAAGCTGCTTGATAGCTGTACTGACAGTCATGAACCTGAGACATCGCAGTGTTAGAGTGACAGAAGGTTTTAGGCAAAGCCGTAAGCAACGCTACATAGTGGATGCAAGAGGCAAAAGTAGCATATGCGGCCACGATGAAAAATGTGGCAAGCTCTTTTACCTTGGAGGTTCAAATATGTTGTTCCCTTTCATCATGTTTTCGATCGATTGTTCCTTGACTTTGATATCTGCGTGGCAGAACCAGTAATGTGGAGCGCTGAGCAGGAGCTCCCATCTCCCCCTGGTACGTCTACAACAAGGCAAAGGCTAAAAGTGTGTTGCTTACCAAGAAGGCATAAAGTGTGCATGTTGTTCGCCCTGTTCTTCTTGATTTTGTCGTAAAAGCTCACGGGTTTCCAGTTGCCATCGAAGAAGGGAATTGAGACTGTTTCTCCAAAGCGATACAACTGAACCACGAGACACACAAGCAAAATGATTATGGCCCTTCGCTCTCAGGCACCATAAATTATGAACACACTCTACTGCGTCTGTTTCCATGGGCTTGGAGCGAACCTGTAGGCCGCACGTAGCCACAGCGTTCATTATGGAAGCATTATGAACAACCTTGACTGTCACGCCTTTCTGCCGTGCTCGTAGGAAGAGGTCAGTGTGGGTCGTCGCACTGATCAGAACAAAATCCGCAAACGTATCATTCATGCTTATTCATGTGCTCATTGGGTGTGCATCAAGCTGGAACTCTACTGAAAATGCTTGTATGCCTCACCAAAATGGGTCTCCAACGACAAGACAAACAACGTGTTTTGATTTTGCTGCATCAACCATTGCTTCAGAATACTTCTCTACAAAGTCTCTGTCAGCAAGAATGACAGGCTTCTCAAAAAAACGCTCCTGCATGGCAAAACAATAGCTACCTAGCAGTTCGTGGGGAGTGCGCAAATGACCAGCTTCTCTACAAGCGACTCACCAGCCACAAAATCTGCCGCATGCATGTAGACACTTGTAAACGTACCAGTCGTTCGGCATTCACATTGAGTGTTGCTGTATAATTCTCTAAATATACAATGTCGCCCTCCCGAATCGCCTCGAGACCTCGGAGAGAGGCGTCGCGCTCGTCGTTTAGGCCGAGTCCCACGAGTGTCAGCACCATTTTTAGGCAATGAATGATTTATTCGTCTATTTGATAATGCGAAAATTGGTGGGGTGCGCCTCTCCCGACAAGGAACTCACTAGCCGTTCCCAGGGGAATCGAGCCTGGAACTGAGCAGAAGTTTTTGGAAGAACCCTGCATTCAGCTAATCGGACGTGGCTGCGATGGCTTTTTTACTACGAAACATAGAGTGACTTGTTTGAATCTGTTGTTAATATGAACAGCAGGTTACCAGCAACCCACTTCGGAAACTGCTGGACGAATATCAATAAGAGCATAATTGCAGAAACGAACCGAGATCCAAAAATAGGTGCCAACTGGACAAAACTATAGCTGAAATGACTCATTTTTCTATTGAAGCTGCATTAGTGACAACACTCAATTAGTTTTATGAAAAAGCCCTAGAGACCCTGCATGTCGAACACTGTACACAGCCCCGCACTGATTGACCTGCTAAGCGTTCTTTATAAAAGTGTTGCCTTGTTTTATCCTACTGTGGCGTGTTCTGCCTTTTGTTTAGGGTGTTCTTCGTCCCTCTCTTGTGCCTCTCCACGGCACGGTATGTTGGGGTCCCCCTTTCGTTGTATTGTGAATGACTTAATGACACCGCTGGCCTGTTGCTTGCCAGCCAGTAGAAGGGCGGGGACCGCGGGAAGAACCTGGATTTGACGCAGTGGTTGGTCAGCGTCTCCAATAACAGCGTCATCTCGTTGGAAACCAGCATTCGCAGTTTACGGTCGTGCCGACGCTCCGCGTGTACATGTGAAGATGTCGACATTTGCGGCAAGTTATTTGTTTTGCAGTTTTCACCACCAGCAGCTCCCCTTGGCAGCTCGCTAACCAGCGCTCTTGTCTTGACTCTTGACGAAGCGCACTCGCGTTGCAGCTGGCTACCGCTTAACCACCTAAAGTGACGTGAATTGGCACAGTAAAATTTAAGTGTTATGGCCCTTTCTGACTACAGCTGTCGCCTTTTCAGCATTCAGAGTTAGACTTTCCCGTGCAGGCTGTTGAGTTATCCTGTGCCACTGCGTCTGTGTCTCCTTGTACACAACAGCGCAGAAGAATAGTACAAGACATCTCGCGTATAACGCGTGATCCCCCACATGGCGTAAAAGCGTCACCGTTTTCAGACAACATGATGTATTGTCATGCAATCATAAACGGGTGAGTCCTGACACTTTAATCTCGTGCTTCATAGGGCTTGTGTAAACTGTCTCCTTATAAGTATCAGGCCATCATAACACCCTTGTACGCGCTTTACGCTTGTGCAATTGGACCTCAGACCAGAAGACACAATGTGGGAGAGTGGCACGTTTCACCTGCTTATTAAGTTCACGGAAGACTATCCGACGTCGCCTCCTCATGTTAGATTCCTTACACGCATGTACCATCCAAACATATATTCTGATGGGAAAATATGCTTGGACATCCTTCAAAACCAGTGGAGCGCGATGTATGATATTTCAGCAGTCTTGACATCAATTCAGAGCCTTCTGAATGACCCCAACCCGGACTCTCCCGCCAATCCCCAGGCGGCTAAAACGCTCGTCAACAACAAGGTTGAGTACGACCGACTTGTACTGGTATGTGCATTGCGTGGCTTCTGTGTGAAACCCTCCTGTATTGGAGTTCAATTAGTGACTCGCTTTTGAAACCTTTTGAGGTTGTTCGGTAAGGGTTTTCTGGGACAATCAAGTGTAACGCCAAGCTACAAGGTGCTGCACTATGGTAATTTCTCAGGAATGCGTTGAGGACAGCTGGTTCATTCCATCCCTGCCTGAGGGGACGTTTGACGAGGATTAAGTCTATTTTTCTGGCTTGGAGCACCACCAGATCCTCGCAATTCTCCTATTTTCCATACAGGTTCCGCGCTTACAAGTCCGGAAGTTCAAGGAAGTGACGCGAAGAAACCGCAGCCCCCTTGTGTAGAAGACCTGGTCATAGTGTTTTGTACGCTCATGTTGGATTTGCGCTTTATTAGCATTTTTCAATACCCGTCGTGATGTGTGATCGTCGCATCCACTGTTCGGCTGGTTGTGGCGGGTCCAAAGGCAGTTGGCTGATAAGTATTGGTCCTATGGGGTGTTCGCTGTGTCTCTTAAGTGCGCATTGTGGACGGCACCAGGTAAGATCAACTGAACAGCGTTAATCAATTGTTCGAGGGTCTCGACGAAGTTTTAAGTGTATATCTCCGCAGTTGAATCATCGAATGGATTTGTTTTACAAATCCTACGAGCACTTTGCTGACGGCGTAAGCATACCACATGATGGCTAAGCGCCGTGTGAAGCAACGATGCATGATAGTTTTTTTTGTTTGTGCTACTCTCTGGGTCATGACAAACTGCTGCCTGCAGAGGCGGTAGCAAGTCACCAATGCGATCATAGTAGAGGTTGCGGTTTCTTTTAGCATCGCTTTCAAGAAAAAAGACTACAAAACAACAGCTCTACAGATGGTGAAATCTGGAGTTGCCCACTAGGCTACAGAATTATTCAATTGGTAGTGGAATGTGAGCTGACTGATTGCTCCTTGTCTACCGAATGCAGCTTGAAATATTCTTCTAAACGAGGAATCTGCACAAACGCATAAAATAAGGCACTGGTGCTAGAATGTTGATGCGTGGTAGTGTACGAAAAAATGCTTTTGAGCGCGACTCGAGTACTACTCACTAGTTTTTCAAATTCGGCAAGCTCTTCACCATCCATCCACATCAGTCGTTTTCCTTGGCTGCACTTCATAGTTCACAAGCATATCGAATTCATATGGTCTGAAACGAAGGAATTCTAAAGAAGCAAGTGCTGCTCTGCGTAGTTCCCATCACGTAGAGTTAGCTGTACGCACCTATCGACAAAGCAGAGAACCGGCTCTAGTTCGCCGTCCTGATCCCTTTTCACATTAAGAACATAACACTTCTTTCCTGACGGAAGCTGAGGCAAGCACGCATGAACTGGTCCTATCAATCACTAAGAAGTCCCGAAACTCTAGGTATCCCGCCAGCCGTCTTGTTGGTGCTCCACATATGTTATTACTGCCCCACAGGAGCACCGTAACACACTGGTACTCGCAGATGTCTCGAAAGCAAGGGCGAACAATATTCTAACTCAGTCGTGAGCCATACAAAAGTCATGTACCTCGATGCTTGGGGATTTGGAGACCGTGTTGAACCAGTAGCCGCGCTGCGGCTTGTCGGAACGAGATGTTCGGTTGTCCTGGACAACTGTTGATACGAACTTACGCACAGGCCGCGCAACTGATGAGTCGAAATGCAGTAACTGGCCTGTATGTCGTCCTATGACGACGACGCTGTGACCTTTGCACTGAAGGGTAACAGCACTTGGGGTGATGAGCCGATGAATACCGAGCATTTTGCTTTGTGAAAAGTGCTTCAGCGTTCTCCGCTTAAGATTCCGCGTTGTATGATGTGTGGTAGAAGGCACCACTTAAAGCTTTTAGCAGGCACTCGACATATCGTCACATCAAAGTTCCAAGAAGACATGGCACGCGAAACGGTTTTGTAGACTACTGTGTCCCTGGAAGTATAGAGCCCTGTATGGTCTTTTAAACAGAAGGGAATGACTGAATCGTACGCCAAAACCGCAATGAAGAAAAGTTCTGAGCTGAAGACCGACTGTCGGGCTTCAGGTGTACATGCATCGCAGTGGTGGTAAGCGGCGAAGTCGGTGAGGAAAGCATTGGTTTACCATCTGTTTTCGATGTGGTCCATATTTCTTTCACACTGCTGCGCACAGTTCCAGCTGTGCTTCTACTCAGGAACGCCCTGAAATGTCGGATATCGAGTCACAGCGAGACCTCGGGGCTGGGCTTCCGAGGACCAACAGGATAATAGACGTTGGTAAGACACAACATGTGTAACTCGAAATAACTCTAAGTTCAGACAGTTCCTGCTCAGCCTTCCCTGGTCTTTCAATGGACAAGCAAGTCTGACCTTCAGCATTCAACTAGCAAAGTGTTCATGAGCTGCCCTGCAGATCAATTGTCTTGATTTCACTGGCACAGCTTGGTTTCTACGTCCTTTCATGTGCAATGTCATCGGCGTTTAAGGTCAGCCCTCTTCAACCTTCTGATACAGACAATTTGGTGAACGTCAAAAACAGCCATCTGGACGTGTCCTCTACCAACTCGGAGCCACATACGGACCTGCGATACGGTAGCAGATAACGCTTTGCGTTGCCGCGAGCCCATTGACAAGTGGTGTTATTTCAGTCACTTCCAAGCATGGAGACTGTTAATGCCAGTTTTTCTCCATGCCGGAATCGTGCATTTCTTGTTCAACACCCTCTTCATTTTGGTTAGTTAGCCGATTGTATCCTCTTTGCACGCATGGCGAATCTTTTTGTAAATCACAGCACATGGGGCTTGACAAGGAAGCAAAGTACGGCAGGAGAAACCTCCTAATTCTCTACTTCTCCTCTGGTGCGTCGGTAATGCTTTGCTTAAACATGAGACGAACCGCACAATACCATTGGAATCTCAGCACTAATTGGAAACATGTTTACTGTATTGATGCACCCATGTTCGCTGGTACAGCGTTATCGGCTTAGATATAGCCCTGGACGCTCCTGAATTCTGCTTCTTCAGGCTGTTGGTGCGAGTACCGCTGGGTTTGGTGAGTTCGCCTTTTCCGTCCGTGACTTGCAAGCAGCCAAAATCCCTCATTATAGGCCTTGTTGGTTCAATACTCGCGGAAATATTGATTGTGTGGCACAAGCTTGACGATATTACGCGGAACTCGTACATGCTGGATGTAACGGTGTTTGGAGCTCTCATGATTTTGCTTTCGTACGGACAATCTGGTAGGGGACTTTGCCTGCCGACGAAGTTCGAGCAGTGAGCTATCCAATTTACAGTTGACTTCTGGGGCCACTTGGGAGGCTTCGTTTGTGGAATTGCATTGACTTGCGAGTTCAACAAACATATTCGAGACCTGCCGTCGTAAGTGGTTACGGGGATTTCGCCCTGTACTGACGTATCTCATGCACGCGGTGCTGCTTAGCTGGTTTGGCCTAGTGCTAAACGGGGCGCGGACGATATGCCTTGGTATTGCCATCCTTACCGTGTCTAGGGTATTCTTTGGCATACCATTGCCGATGGTGAGAAAACTCAGCCCCTCTTTATGCGCCCATTCTTACATCTTTGCTTCAGGGTTGCGCCTAATTGGCGGCATTTGACCCCTACACACGGTGGTGGCAACCTTACAATTTCCAAATGCGTGGCCCTATAAACTCAGATTAGCATCGGAAATATTGTTTGGTTTGATGAAAAAGCTTATCCAGAGTGGAATTGTTATCAAGTACAATATCCGCCAGTGACACTTTTTCTTTCAGAGGAAGTTGGCACCTGATCATTGACTGCAGTGTATGCTTGGGTGAAGACGTATCTCGAGCAACCAGTCGCCTTAACTGCACCTCCTCTGTAGCCGCCACCACTGTCACTGGGCCGCAAAGGAGATTTAAATGCGTTTCAAATAGTAAGGGGATGTCAAGCACAACGTGTTGACGCCACAGACACAATCTAAACTTGACAACTTCCCACAGAATAGTTACAAGAATCCATGGATGTGTAATCCTATTAAGTAGCCGTCGCTTGCTAGTGTCGTGGAATACAACTTCTCGAAGGCGAACCCTATCAATATCTCCGCTTGATGGATCGATAATGACATCGCCGAAGACGTTCACCACTTGGCGAAAAGCTGGTGTACCGCGCTTTAGGACACCTTTTGCTATTGCATCCGCGTCAATTACGGTCCATCCGTTACGTTTTAGATACGATGCTACTGTAGACTTCCCGGTTGCCAAGCCTCCGGTGAGGCCAGGAACGAGTAGTCGAGCCCCAGCATATGTGGAGAGTAGTCCTACGAAGAAATGTAAAGTAGAAGCTGTGTAAAGAGAGCACAGCGAAAACATGAGAAGCAACACGAATGCAACTTTGTGTACTGGGCGGGGCTGGCGCATTGTAGAGTACTTCGCGAGAACGAACCCGGTCACGAAGTTGACGAGAAAAAGGGAACATCCCAGCAGGGAGCGAAAGATATTTGAATGTAGCATGGTTGACGGTCGCGGATATTGGGAAGTCAAATTAGTTCGTGGATTCCCAATTCAAATTTCCTGAGGGATAACCTCTCTCCTGAATGGCATGCCGCAGCAGAATACATATAATAAGTGCCGGTATGAATTACCATATCAGGCATCTTATGGTCCCTCGGTGATGTTCTTAACACTCAACAAGCAAAGCTTGTAAGTTTGCTAAATGATGGTGTTGAGGAGAGCTTCCACTAGAAGTTCCACGCCTTTCCAGCACCCGTGAAGCGGTAATGGGAGCTTCATCTGGAGATTACACCATAGCCTCCGACGGAATACGTGATGGGATATCCGTAGGGTGTATAGAGTTGCAATTTATTGATTTTAGATAAACATCACCCAATCCGCTGGTGCATGGGACTATCTGCTTGGTACGGAAAGGTTATGCGTCTCAAACAGAAAAAGGCTCATGCATTTCACTATTACTGACAAGTAACAGTGAAATTTGCGTCACACTTGGTACACATGCATGGCATTTGGAACAAACGCCAAGGACAGCCCTACACGGCTACCATTCTCACATGCGGTCTGGTCATGTTGAGGCAAATATCGAGGCATAATTAAAAATGTCATGCTGTACTAACTTGTTTATTAAGGGAATAATGCCTGCATTATGGGACATTCGTACGTCTTGATCCCTGATGGGATTGACGCGTCCGATGACGCCGCTACTCATATCCAACGCTTGCTCCATCTCTCAACCCCAAAGGAGGCAGATCGTGGCGGTCTCGTGAGTATTCCCCCAGACATATTTCAACTGCTGGTGGCTCCTAATGTGCATCACACACAGTGGTGTCAGCTAAAGTGAGTGCCGGAGTCGTAGTAAGGGGGATTTGTGGCCTCAGACGATAGCTCGTATTATTGTATTAGCGTACCTTTTTCTGTGGCTCCCCATTGTGCAGATCTTTTGCCTTCAGGTTTCGCTTCTTCTCCTGGTGCTTCTCGTTCTACTGATTCTGGTTGCCTGGGAAACATACGGGGGACTGCTTCGGGATTTTTATGATGCTCACGGCGCCCCCTTGGAATTTCGTTCATCCCCAAAGCGCCATTAACATATTTGTTACGGCTTTGTTTTACTCCTTTTCCACCTCGTAGGGCTAGTTTTGTTTCCAGCTCTCTTTCAGGGCCCCCCATGATGCCTTGTGAACTTTCTGTAGAGTCATCGCCAGCTGTTGCAGCTTAGGCAGAAAGCAGGAATCTTTGCCTTCCATTGTCGTACAGAGCGATTGCGCTAGGCTGGATCGCGTGACCTTCCTCGGCGGCGGGCGTCCTCGCGTTTGCACACATATGTTCTGGAGTTTTACTGGCTCGCATTCATGATGCTGGCATCCCAGCACGAGGCAGCCCCCGTTTCACCAGACACTAGATGTAAATCTGCCAGCGTGGACTTCGACGCCTCAGAGCGCCTTCAACTCATGCAGAGCGGCTTGCCCCTGTGCATTTTTTTGGAGTCTTCCGAGGTGGTGGCGATCAAACCGCCTGCTCCCCTATACATATTCGTCCCGCGCGTTTCCTACTTGCCAACGCTGATCGACAAGTGCCACGAGCACTTCAAACCGTATATTCAGCCGTCTTTTGGCCAGCCAACGTCGCCGTTCTTCGATTTCGGCGGAATCCCCATTGATTGGCGTCTACCGATAGGAATCGCCTTCGATATTTTGAGCTCGTTGAAAGGAGGGCTTTCAAAGGGCCCGGGGGTTTCTGAAATGCGGAACTCTCCAGCCGATACCGAGATCTCCGAGCTTGCGGCATGTGGCTGCGACGTGCAGCTTCCTTGGTGCCTAACTATTCATTTTCATGGTTCAGCGTCCAGCTATCTGGGTGGAGGGGCAACTAAAGTGTTCTCTTTTCAAGAATTTCTTGGTTGGGCAAGCTTCGAAAGCTTTTTCATGAACTCTCTCAAGCAGGCAACCTATATCATCAACGGCTCCGCGGTTCCGTTTCAGCGACTCCCCAAAGCAGTGGAGATGCAGCTGCTTACCGCATCTCGAACAGGGGCAATTGCGCAGTTTCTGGATAGTTGCCAGCAACTCCTACCAACTATCTCGCCGATGCATTACAAGCGTATCCCTGTGCGTTTGTATGTTTGTGGGCCACCCTGTTTCCAACTATCGCTAAGCTTCCCTTGCTTCAAGACAAATAAGGCATGTTCCCCAGCAACAACTTTGGACGATGGCCACTCCCTGCGTTCCAGCAGCGAGCGCTTGGACAGTGCTAGTGGGGTTTGTCGTGCTGGAAGCGCATCGTCCGCTACGTGTTCCGGTACTGGACCTGGATGGGATGCTTCTGAGGGAGATGCCAAAGCTCTTTCGACCCTCGGTGACTTGATGCATCATGTACTTCCCCAACTGTTTCCTAAGTTGACGCGGCTTAAGGAGTGTGCTGCACAAGGCTTGCTTAATAAGACCGACGAATGTCCGGAAGCCGTGGAAAACGACTGTATAGATACAATGCCGGTGAATTTGGAGCCTGGGTGCGAAATCGGGAGGAGATCATGTTATGTGGTTGTTCATGGCATACAGCCCCTTCTGCAAACACCGCTGTTTTGGCTGGCTACCACGGCCCCGCAGTTGGACATGTTCCTTTACATTGTAGTAATCGTTGAAGAGGCTCTAATGGGAGCTGCTTAGCCCAAATGTGCAAGCCATTAACTATATGGGTCATGCATATTCGTACACTGATGTTGATTGGGTGGTTTGAGTCGATGCCGGTACAAAGTGGCAATTCCTATGAATGTAAAATAAACCGACACCACCAGTGGAGTCATCTGCTGAGCGAACATTTCACTGAAGAGCGGGTTTTCGCCTTTCCCGCTGGGCCCGCGTATGGCTGTATAACTGCAAATCCTGAAACATTCTTTTGATAATTCAGAGGACTCCAGCAGGAATAGTTCCTGTTGCAGTCATTGCAGCTACTTGCTGTCGCTCAAGACAAAAGCAGGAAGGGCCACCAGCCCCTCGTTGTCAGTTGGGTAACCAAGCGCTGAACTCCTTCGCTTTCCTATATGAGCGGCGTGGCTAGCTGGATCAGAAACTTGTCGCTCCTCGCGCTGCACAAGAAAAACCATAAGCACCACACAAGATAAGTGGATCACCCGCTTGGGCACATTATCACTGCGAAGGGAAAAGGCAAATGGTGACTTCTGCCGTTACAGCTGCTTTTTTCACAACTGCATGCAAGTCTGAGTAAATAAGTCCTGTAAGGAGTAAGCCACGCGGTAGCTGAGCATGCTGCTGTACTCACAAAAAGACAACAACAGATCTCACCATTTTTTCTGCAAATTCCACCTGGGAAAATTGTGGTAAAGGAATGAGGTCGCCCCTATCGGGGGGTTTTGTAGGTTGTGTTGAGAATGCGGGGAGAGCCCTGGTGGACTTGTAGGACAAAGGATATGCGCTGACCAATCGTGAGTCGACTGTTTCGCCGCATCTCAAACACACAGCGTCTCCTCCAGCGATTTGGTACGCACAAGTGGGGTGCTGGGCGTATTGGGTGGGAGAGACGATGTCCATGTCGCAGTTGCAGGCCCGACTAATGGCTGTAAACAGCGTGTCGAGGCAGGGAAGCACCCATCTCTCACAAATTCCTCGGTTTCTTCCCATGAACGCACTTCTCCTTTTCTTCAGCTTTCCCTTGGCTGGTAGGTAGTACTGCAATTTGACAGGAGGCGCAGGACTATGAAGTAGTATTGGTGATCAATATGTCTGCAATACGGCACACGTCATCTTTGAGCATTGTATACAGTCCCGAGGCATGCATCTAAACATATGGACTGCGTCGGCGTCCAAATGACGCATGAAAAGACTTACCGTCGTCAGAGAGGGCTGGATTCCGGGTGGTTGGTGACTCCCATGCAGACTTGAACAATACTCGACTTCCTTTATGGGAAGCAGCACTTTCGAGGAAACTGAGGGCGGTAGGCGGTATCGAGTAACGGTCGTCTTCGCCGCATCATAAGCAGGCGTAATAATCCGATACTCCGAGGTTGTGGCACTTGGGAACGCCAGAGGACAGGGGGTGGAGAGGGGTGGCCCCTCCACACTTGATGTCCATGATGTGGCGTGAGTTGGAAACAAGTGGCTCTGTGAACTCTGTGCCCCTGCGCCTGTGTGTGCGCTTTTGACAAGTTTGGGAGCGCCGTAAATACTGGCTTGGGGGTCCAGAGAAGGGTGTGTCAAAGTTGTACGCACAGTATGGGACGAGCCCAACGCCGACAGTTGAGCTGTTACGGGGCCTGGAGGAGTGTAGCTGACATACCTGCCTCCCGACAGTGTGGCAGGAAGAGTTGCTGAGACCGGGCAGTTACTGGAGAGAAGAGGCGGGCCGAAGGGTGTATGCATTGCGGGCTGCTGAAGACGAGGCGTATCCACGAACTCTGCGGGGATACGCTTGCGTGCTTCTGGGCGCCCGCTTATTGCATCTTTCTGGTAAATTTTTGAAGCACAGCTCTTCTCACATCCATAGTCTGATGAAAGCCCAGCTTCTGCAGCAGTTCCCTTCGAGTCAGTTGCCATTGTAGCGCTCCGCTATCGGAGCACGGCAACACCCGACGGACGAAAGCGACACTGGCCAATAGTTGAGCCCGATGAACGTAGGCCTCTTGAATCGTCGCTGAATGTAGCTGCGATTCTAAGGTAGCTTCACCGCATTCTCATTTCTCCTCACGCACCTTCGTCAGTGTAGGCTGTACTGGGTGCTCTCGCGTGAGCGGAGCCCTGTTGTTGGCAGCAGCTCCTGATTTCAAATCATGCGAACCTGAATGCCTTCGTTATGGGACGGACACAAAAGTCAATTTAATTGGACTTTTGAATCGTGAGCTTGGGCCAGGCGCGCTTCAATGCATGGCAAACAGTGTCCGCCATGGGGCGATTTTGACCGCTAGCCAGGCGCCTCATGCAAGGCACACTTCGAAATGAACCAAACCGGCTTTTTCACAAGCCATTACCAAACAGAAGGAGTAAAGGAAAGCCATCAAAGTCTTTGCGAGCCAGTGGAAGGAGCATGAGCACCGTGCACATTGGGGGCCCTGTCTACTGCCAGAAGATTTGATGCTGCCATGCGTAGCTGCTCGACCATTCCCCAGATCACCTTGTATCCCCGAAGCTCTGACTCTATCCTATTGGGTGACAAAGTCTGTCTGCTCATGTCTGAGCGTGTTGTTAATCGCGTGCGTTTTGTTGCAAACACCGCGTATTGCCAGGAGCGCGATAGCCTAGGATCGTCTTCGCCTGAAAACTCTGCAAAACAGCGAGTAAGAAGTACTGGACGCAACTGTTACCACAGGAGTGCAATACAATGCGAAATATAGAGTCAGCAAATGACAGAATGCGTTGACTCGAATATAGTGTAGATAATTGGATCCGCGGCGGTGGTGGCAGTCGAGAAAAAACTATGTTCTTGCGCTAGTTTTTATGAGGGACCCATCAGGTAAACTCTAGGGACTTCCTCTGAGATAAGCCTCTCAGAGTTGTCTGTAGCAGTCACTCTCAAAGGCTATCAAAGAAAGCGGGCCCCAAATGCCACGACGAGCAACTCAATCGTAAGGGATATCAAGACCAAAGTGAGTGCAACCAACTTTCCTGGGTTCCACTTACTTATGGTAAGGCATTTCGCACACCATGCCTCCATTTGATTACTTCCTCGATGTGCGCCTTCTTAGGAAGCCTTGTGCACCAGCGCAGGAAGGGCGCTCCGTTAGAATCGGCTGACCCCTCTCGATAATTGTTCCTCCTATTTCATGATTGCACCTCCGTTACCTGCCTTGCCTGTGTAAAAGTAAAGGCACGGTTTCAGTCGACGATGGTACAAAAAGGCATTGTTTGTCTACAACCACAGCCGATGCGAGAGGTCCAAATGCCAGTCAACTCCAGTTGCCAGCCTGCATTCATTTGTATTACGTACTACGGGAATGCTTGGAGCAGTTGGCACACCTAAACTAGCATACTTTAGCATTGCCTTCTAATGTTTCCTAGCTGTCTCATCCTGTAATCGTATCCACGTGATGTTCCGGTTCGTTCTCCTACCTTCGGCGCACCTTGGGTTAAGATCATACGACACGATGCAGGACCACTACAGTCCACGTCGAGAGCGCCATTTGACCGCGACTAGGGATCCGGCGGTATTTGCCCACCCCACATCTATGATTGGTTTTGTTATATTTGGGCTCAACAGCTAGCTCTAAACAGAATCTATCAAAACGCCAGACACCTGATGCACATCCCATTTCCCCATAAACTCAGCGTCTGAACCATGAGCCAAGACCTTTTGCTTCCAAACCAGCGTCACCGTACTATATCCTACTGCCTACATTAAAGAGTCCCCTCTGTATTCGACCTGAATTTACATGGTAATTTCCTTTTGCTTGCCTTTCCTCTAGAGATTCTAGCGCTCAAACATAACAAAGCGTAGAGTGGGTGAAGCGCATTTTCGCTCAAATCGCGCTATATCTGTCCTCTTAGACAGAAATGGCACCGCAGTCCACCCAACGGTTATGGTAAACGCACTGTACTGGTGGCCCACCATGCGACAACCTATTTTCCACTTCCAGTACAGCAAGCGGGAATCGGGCTCCTCAAATTACGCGGAGCTCCTGCCAACCTTTGTTCTCCGTGTAGAAGTGCTCCTGAGCGAATTCGCGTCCGTACGCTACTGCAAGAAGAGGAAGTCCTGCGCAGTCAAGAACTCGCAAAAGAGGATTTAATGCGGTAAACCGAATAACATGGTCTGTTATAATGTGTGCCGGTTTGCAAGGCAAGTGCACACCGTGCGACCCTCAAAAATAATGTTCACGTGGGTTGCAAATACACAGCAACCAAGGCCACAGTAACTTACCCAGTAACATGCAGGCCCAGAATATTGCATTTGCCAGGCAGCGGTTGTGAGCGTAGTATCGGCCCAAGGCAACAAGCGGTATTTGAAACAACATCAAAAGTAGCAGGTAAAACCGGATAAACCGAAAGCAAACAGCCTGCAGCCGCAAGGGCGGAATACGCAGAGCCCTGATTTAATTCTTCTTCTCTGTATCGGTCTAACCACATCAACCAGCACCTACAGGAGCACTCTCAGGCATGCAGTCAGCGGCGTCGTGGTGTTGGTGTCTGTGGCTCACCACTATCATTTCATGAAGAAGCGCAGAAAACAAAAATGTGGCGACAACGGCGCTTTGTTGACTAAACTGAGAAAGCGAATTGGAGCAAAGATGCACGCAAGAAAAATGTCGCAAGTTGTGCGATGGTCACCATGGCACCGCCCCATGCCGCTTCATATTCCTGATATCCTGCGATGCCAACGGACTCGCGGCTATTCTCGATCCAAAAAAAATGTAGCTCTCAGCCTCTTGATGCGTGACGCATGACAAAGATCGTCATTTTTGCGGCTTACTCGGTACTTTTGTCGGGTTTCCATGTAGACGTGCCTCAGTAGGAACTTGTGCACTGGGCGGTTCCACTTGCGGGAGTACTCATCCCAGTTCGTGCTGTTCCACCAGTCCTGCACTCGCCATACGCGCGCCGCAGTGTAGCGAGTTGCATTGCTCACCATTCAAAGTGTTCTCGGGGCCGCCTGTGGGCGGTCCCGAGGGCGAGCTGTTTATCACTCCGGAAGCGGGAATTGCGCAACACGAGCATCACACACAGCCTAGTACTGGATGTTCGGCTGTGGTTTGTTCTGTGAATACACAGACTATACTGGAAGGACGCTCCCGTCAGCAGAAAACGCAATTGTGTCAGCCAACTCACATGGTAGAAATCACGGTTCCCAAAGTTGGTGACCTCAGCGAGGAGGTTGCAGATGCACTCGAAGAGGATAAAGAAGATCAACAGGTCCAAGAAGAGAAACGGAAAAATCAAGTTTGACATGGCTTCCATCAGAGACACCGAGGGTGAGCGGCTAATGGTTGGAATTAGGTACGAAGTGCATGCCAAGTACATCACCGTCTGAAAAGGCAAGCAGGAACCGCAACAAGCCATGTACGAAGGGACAACACGAAGCCGGCCACAAACCTGGAGGCATCCGGTACATTCAGCGGCAATCGATGTTTGACCATCAAATTGCGTGTCGCACAGACTTGTCCATACTCAGGGTGATGCCTCGAGGCTACTACTCCGTCAGCAGGGCCTCTATAAGCCCTAACCGGGTTCGTTTAACTCACCATTGCGCTGACAAGAGACACAAGTTTCCACACGAAATAAGCTGGACGGAAGCCGTTCCCCCGAGGAAAATAGGGCTCATACACTAGGGAGGGAACCACCATGTAGTAGCAGAAGTTTCGGAGATTAACCTGCATACCGCAAACAAAGGCGACAAACAAGCAAGCGAAAATCACGAAACGCAACGCTTTTAAACAGGGGGAAAGGCTATTTCGTCAAATTACTTAATTGAGCAGCAGCCAACGCCAAGCGCACATTTTGTGGATAGTACACGCAAGCGTCCGGCGTATCTTTCTTGAGGTAAAACTCAAGGTTGATCTCCGTATACGAATGCATCTGCGGGAAAACGTGCAACAATTCGATTCGTCTTTCAAACTATACATGACGATCTTGAAAAAAATGACAGGTTCCACCGCTTTATACCAAAGCAGCAAAAAGCGAATCCTAGCACGACAAAGTTTCGCAAGGTTGCAACTTCTTCAGCCGCAAATTAATGCCTTCAAAGGGCTTGTTGTGCTCCATTTATCGGTATATCAGGGATACATGTGAACAATGTAAACATATTCTATCTGGCTAAATGGGTAATTCACACCTCATGCGCGTAGTTCACCTCACCTTCATGAAGTTGCAGACTGCAGCAACCTGCACGAACGCAGCTGGAATTATCGGCCACCTGCACACGGAAAGCAGCCACGCAAATGCTTGGCTCAATGGAAGTATTCGTGCTAGGGCAGCGGGCCAAACAATGACACACTGTGGAGTTCGAGCCACCTAGAAAGGCTCCTTGTGGTTTATAGTCTTCTGCGCTTCCAAGGGCGGAAGGAAATAGGAAAAGTGGAATATCAAAAGCGCATGGTCGGCTGATGAGAGGGGTGAACCTCACTTGTTGTACAAGCAGTGGCCGACCGCATAAGCGATTGTCGTGAATTGTGTCAGATGCTGCAGTACGAACAGTGTGCGTCTTCCAATATAACCCTTCATGAGAAAAAAGTGGAGGCCAAAGGCCCTGATAAGAGCATGCAATCGCACAACACGAGCGGAATGCTTGCAAATGCTCGTGTAGGGCAGATTTAGACAACCTATGCCCGAGACTGAAGTGCGAGGACTCGAGCCGGTAGCTAAGAGGCGACCGATGGGGAAGCGGACGGCAGGATAATGCAAAAAGGCGACAGGGATCGTAAAAGAGTAAACAGAGAGGGTGTCTGAGTTGTGAAGGAGTCTTGGCCCATGCACAGACAGACAAGGCTGTTTTGCCAACTCCTGCTGCAGCTTACGTCAGCGACCACACGGTAAGCTTGAACCACATGAACATCTGAACACACCGCCACATACAGCATACGCGCTTCAAATTAATCTTTCCCCATGAAGGCTATCGTCTAGCACATCAGATCCATTGCTCGATGGACGTCAGGCGAGGACAGCAGCCTGTCAACTGGTTACCAAATAGAAGAAGTCGTAGAACATGGCGACTGCTAGCTGCGCAGACCACCACATAGCAAATCTTATTTATACGCATGCTTCGGGAAACCTTCCCTCGCACTCCTTGGGAATCCCTGAAGCCAGCGTCAGGAGAAGAATCTGCAATGCTGCAGTAACCTCCGAGAAGAATCTCCAGTATCGTATGCACAGATGCGAGAAAGCTATACATCTATGAAAGACAGAGGCATTGAGAGCATTGAACATGAAACACCTTTTGGCTAGACTGCTCTAGGCCTTACCGACGGATCCACGAATTCCCCCTTCTCATACCACCGCATAATGGGATTGGCCACAAGATAGAAGCCGGAACAGATGACTGGAATCGCAAACAGTGTTGTGAAGAGATAATGCGATTTGCCGATTATGTACTCAAGGGGTAAGTCGCAAATCCTGGGGTGTCGGATTTCTTTGGCAGGAGGGCTACAGCCCTCATCTATTTGAATTTGAAGTGTTTCAGAACGCATTAAAAAAGATATAGAGGGGCCAAGTACAATCACTTACATAATAGCGTTGCAAATCCTCTGTACGGAGACCTCGCCAACTCGGAATGGGGGTCAAAAAAATCAAGTTTTGAGGGAGTACAGCAGCCTTCCGCCTGTGCTTGTCTGTTAATATCGGACTGGGAAGGACTCACGGGCCGTGAGTCACCCAGGTCTGGACAATGGTCCGATTGCCCTTGACTATCATTACACAGTGGTGGCGCAGCTGCATTTGCTGAGCTGCCGAAGCAGGATAAGGGCGCTCGGCGATTTGTGGAGCAGGCAGATGAAGCGGGTCGGTCTGTTGCAGCAAGCACATCCTCCGAAGGGCTTACGCTCTCAGAGCTCCTCGGGGCCGCTACAGCGCAGCCTGATGCGGAGGCAGTTCTGTTCTTCATGTGCGCGGCTTCACCTTCGAGGATCCGTAGCCACGGAAAGACAACACTGTTCCATCGGAGTCTACGGCTTAGACAGCGCTCACCCCGTGTACTACACCACTTTAACAAACTAAAACTTGAAAAAGCTTAGACAGACACGCGAGTTAGCACCAATTCGTTAACTACAGTTCAGGGTAACAATGTAGGAATCTGCATGGAGTGTGTTTAAAAAACTCGTCCAATAGCATCCGAAGTTTTTACATATATATCAATGATAGTGTATGCGCTCATTCCTCTGGTCAATAGTGTTAGAAAAGTCCACCATACTGTGGAGAACCGGAATTTGTACTGCTGATGCCACCGCATGCACGACACGCTGCAGTACCTCCGTGCTAGGAAATGCAGATAGTTGTTATCAATGCTGGTACCGCCAACATTGATGTCCATTCGTCCCCTTTTGATGCTTTCTACTATTAAATCCAAGGATCTACACAGCACCCCCTTATCGAGAGTTCCTTGCGCAAATACCAACAGCCGAAGCCGCACCGGCGACGACCGAGGCCAGGCAACGGTTTTTCCAATAGACTCGGCGCGCTGCATATTTTCTCAGATGATTAACAAAAAAATAGTACGCAATCTCAACGAATTACTACTGTGAGCAGCTTTTAGGCTTATAGATACCGTGGAGGTATGCGGCAACGTAGAAAGAGAGGAGCTGTACACTCGTATGGGTGGTGCTGCATCTGCAGTTATTCCTTTGAGAATCTACTCGGGCTATCTTAGAGCCCACATACAGCTTTTCTTAGAGCTAGTCGATGCAGGAAAAAATTTGCCGAGTTGTTTTCCCTCACATCGGGATTTCACGTCTTTGCTTCAGCCGGCCCTCACAACTGAAGTATGTTAATTCATAGAAACATAACCTTTTCTCTGTATGCTCTAGTCTTCACCAGCAATTGTTAGTCTCAGGTGAGGCCTACTGTGTGCACCCTGATTTTAAAAAACACACCTGCTAGACTCGGGGGAACCTGCAGCTTCCTTTCAAATTATGTGTAGCCAGAGAGATGATTCAGAGCTTTATGAATGCCACAATAAACACAATGGATCTGCTACAGGAGAGGAAGGCGTCAGCAAGGTAAAATTGTCTGCTACAGCTGACCCTTGTGCGCAACGTCAGCAACGGAAAATGAAGACCATACCCGCTGAACCCAAAGAACTAGAGAATCAAAAGACCTGCCTTGATATTATCCGTGATAGCTTTGCTGCAAGGGTATTCGTGTTCCCTACTTCCTAGCCATCCTGTAAAGACCTTAACCGAAGCATAAGTCACCAGGACGGATGTGGCTTACTTGCTCATATATTTTGGCCATAAATTTTTGTTACAGAAGCGCTACCTCTGGGAGCACGTAAAAGAAAATGTTCATCTGAATACATTAGATCCTTAGCATAGAGAAGCGCTTCTTGGTGCAGCTACCGAGGCATAATAACGCAAATGCCATACCGGTAACTACCGTGCGATATTAGGGTTAAAAGAATCATCCACCCACACCAATTGAAAGCATGTGTGGCCTCTGCAGCCCATTAGCGTGCGAATCCTCATCGTCCTGACTTTGGACCAATCGAACCCCAACTTTGAGACAGTCGAAGGTCAGGCTCTTGTGGCAAGGGTAGACGGTCACAGCACCACTGACACTATCACTACACTTCATTCACACAACCCTCTGTTATTTTGATTTAGACACTTGCTGGGTGTACCTCTGATCAATGTCCCTGCGTGCATGCTGATTTATCCGTGCAATTCCAACTCAATCCGGGTGTTGCTTTGGCGTGCTCTTTCAGAAGGTCTTCAATTGCGAGCAGATGAGTCTCCGAAGGAGGCAATAACCGGCATAGGAATGTTTGTGGCCCACTTCGCAGTTCTTCTGCTCGAAGTCCTTCCTACACAATTATTTTTGTCCAATGGGCCTGCCGATCATGTGTTGTATCGTCGGCAATGCTTCACTGCAGACATTGAAAGGCATACGCACTGCTAACTAAAGATGGCGTGCATTTAAACATATGCAGCAGCACAAGCATACCTGTGCATACACGCACACGTGCCTGCATGCATACTTCCGGATACATAATTTGCATAAGACCGCACAGCTATGTGGAAGAAGACGATTCACGGTTTCCAAAGTTTGAAGCGCTTTTGATGTGGCGTTCAGGGGGCTTACCGTCCAGTAATGGACTGTGTCCGTTGGCTGGACCAGCTGGAGGCAACACGACAGATTTTGGATGGCACAGTGATATTTTTCTCGGATTATGTAAGACCTCCACTACTCTAAGATCTAGGGCTGATTAGATCTTATACAGCTCTCATGCTTGAATGTTCATTCGGTCCAGGCCGCGGTATATTTAGCGTAGCAATGCCATGCCTATTTCCACCAGCAACCATCGGACAACAGAGACAGTAATCGAGCACCACACCAATAAATTACCTTACAGTTCCATATTGAGAAACGTACAAAAAGGTCAAAAATTCTCAAGGCCATACAACGATTGACCTTGCTAAGATAGGACCCGTACGTGACTCTTATGGAAACTTAAAGTTGCTATCCGCAACATTGTTGAATGGTTTGATCAACAGTTCTGGACTTATCCAAAAAGACAGGTCCATGCGTGCTAGCATAGGTGTTACATATATAAATGCATGTATTTGTGTATGCACGTGCGTATGCATGGACGCACGCACACAACGGCACCGTGAATCTGCCAACATGTTTCTTCATTGTCATTGCGCAGAAGGGAGTGATATTATCTTTCGTGGCTGCTTCAGCGAACGTATAAATTGATGCCCAGTTACTGGAGCTTCAGGCCAAAAGACTTCCTGGACATGCGATTCGACGAAGGTGATATTGAACTGACTGAGGAAGCGGTTGCGCAACAGGTAGCTAGCACCAAGGGCCCGTGTAATACCTCTTAGTTCAAGCCTAACCACACCGAGATACGTGCATATATATATAAAGCAGCAAAAACCAGGTCAAATGCGTCAAATGCCTTTTGAAATGCGCTTCGATCTACAATACCAAGCGTAATGTATACAAAGCTCCCCTTGACTTCACAAGAATTTCTACTGGATAATCCAGCTGAAAGCAGCTCCACTAGCAATACAACTGTAAATCACAGCGAGAAGAGAATATGCTCCGTAAGGTGGCTGTTGGCTGATCAATGTGTTAAAGGCCACCAGTCTTTATGAAAAAATGGTGCTTTTGATACACGAACTGCGATCCACAAATCTGGAGGCAAGAGTAAGCAGAGGCCTTCTGGATACCCCTAGTACAAGTCAGTGCGTTTGCCGAAAGCTGAACTGACATTTGCGTAGCTCCGCCATCCTCGTTCATACACTCCCACCCTTATTGAAAAGTCTTACGCTGGAAGAACCCATGCGATTTGCGTTTTAAATGCTCTGACTCCCAGCTGGATCCTACTGGGCTCCTTGCCAAGGAGTTTGTGAAGTTTGCGCCTGACCCCCGAGTTGTTCATGCCCTGTTGAGCGCATCTATCACCAAGAATTTGCTGTTTTCGCTGGGAGGTAAGGAAGAGTTGGCTTGTTGTGTGGAGGCCGTTCTCTTGGTGTTATTCTCTTCTGAACTTCCGAAGGTTCTTCTTTATAGTTATACATCGGACTAACTCCTCATCTAACTTGATTCTAAAGGTCCCCAATAAAATTCGCACTAACCCCATAGATTTCCAAGATGCGTACAATTCTGTTTCTTGTGAAAGGGGCCATAGCAAAGCTCATTCAACTGCAGCTCTCCAGTGGGCCATTTTGACTTAGGAACAGGGGTTTTTGTGCTTAAGCGTTGCAGAGTTCAAAGCGTACTTCCTCGACGATTTTCTTGCCACTCTCCCAAGAGACATGTGCATTTGAGGACGCGTACCCCGTGGGTGCATTTCTTGTGAGGGAGCAAATTTTCTTTGTCGCTATGTCTGTATACAAGAATGCAAGTTTTACCGGCTATTGTGTTCCATTCCGTATTTGCCCATCTTGGACTCCCACATTTCAGCGGGATACCGCCGTTGAATGCGATGGGCTTGAAAAGGTGGATAGCAGCATCAGTGCCAACAAACGCCTCGGGACAAACAGAGGCGGAATTTTTCTTGTTGACTGAATTGCATACAATCTCGAGGTTTGAAGATTGCTCTCTTCCGATAAGACTCTCTCTTATAAAGAGCTTAAATAAATCGAGATCTGATGCATGTTTGTGAGAAAAAGCTGCACGCACTGGACGCAGAGAGAGAGATAGAGAGAGAGACAGACCCCCTGGGTTCCTCTGCTTACGGGGACCGGGAGCCTTCTCCCTTGTACACTACCGCACGAACCCTTCATTTGGCCAGAATTATTGCCTAAACAACGAAAGTAGACCTTTATCCTATTTTATTCTATCGTTCTGTACCGGCGTCAGGCTTGTGTACCCGGGGTGTGCAATCACACGACAGGTCACCGAGTCTATTCTGGTCACCGCAGACGAGTCATTGATCTGCAGTAACGCATCTGCCCGCCACAATGGCACTGAACTTGTGTCATTTTCACGTTCCGCAGCCCATTATTCTTGAGTATTCCCTTTAACCGTTGATTTGCACAGAATCAGGCTTCCTCTTCTCCCTATATCCTGCGTTCGCCAACACTGTGCTCGTTCATGATGACGCGCCTTTTCGCCCTTCTCATCGCTTGCTTCGGGTTTGCACAGTCCGCGCCGACGGAGCCTAGTGCACCTCCAGCTCCGATAACTGATGAAGCGGTGGAACCCGAAATCTCCCCACGGTTGTTCTTCGCCATGGACACCATTCTTTATCCGCTTTTCCTGGAAAAAAGAGGCCCAGTTTTGGACCCAGGATACTAAGGCTTCCTTTTCACAATTAACGTGTATCCTTCTAAAGCACATTCCACCTCTAGCCACCAACACCGACCAACCAAGGGTTTAAGGAAGAAGGTTTTCTTTGCGGTTCCGCCGTCAGGTTAGTCATTGGGCATTCCGTAGCCGATGGAGGGCTTCCGCAGAGAGTGTGGGGGGCACCTGAAGGCGATATACCACGCAGATCCCTTTGTATATGCAGGGTGAGCGCATAAGGCGTGTAACAGGTCTACTGGCCAATCGGGCTATCCCGCCTCGTGTGCAGCGGCTGCTCGGAAGGCTTTTTCCTAAACAGACGCAAAGCATGCAGGTCACTTGTTTACTCCGCAGGCGCATATAGCTTGAGCCTACCAAGAGGCAAAATTAGCATTTGTAGTCGACATGGTGTACTTGGAGTAGGTTCTTTCGGTCAAACGCGCTTGGTGTTGAAAGCTTTCACTTAGAAGGCAGCAGGCTGTAGCACAGGATTCTGGACTCTTTTAGAGGGTTCAGTTCCTATGTTTTTCTTCACGCCCTTAGAGGTTGTTAGCGCTCCTCCCACCTTGCATACTAGGGCCTAGGCGGGCACCACACCAGCAGGTAACACCCACATCATTGCTCTAGAGTGCGCAGCACAATCTTGTTTTCGTTATATCTTCTGCATTGCTCTAGTCCTGCCTCATGCTCTAGATTTGCCTTGTGCTCTAGAAGGACCACCTCGAACTACGGCTGGTATACAGGCCGCGCAAAGTCACACACACTCATCCCCGTAGCTAACAAATAGACAGCTGATTTATTCCGATTTTTACCCGAGGCGCCTAGCCAACTAGAACAAAGCAAGAGAGTAATATGGCGGACAAGCCAAACAAACTCGTCGAGTAGCGTGCAGTTCGCTGCAGAGGCCTCCTCTGCGGCACTGAAGTACGCCGCCGAAAACGGAGCTGCTGAGATGGCAGCAGTGAGAATACCTGTGTGAGTCCTTTTATATATTTTATATTGGGACCACCCTTCCAATGACATTCAAAATCATTGGCGTGTCGCGCTGAAAGACAGCCCCTGAGAGTCGGAATACCAGTAGCAACCACACGCCGGACAAATGGGGCGAGAAGGGTCCTGAAGGCCTCGCAGCCAATTAACACATGAGTATACATATAGATGATTTAGATACGACCTGGGGACACCTAGACACACGGACTCTGTTGCTTGCCGATGGCCGTGCAAACCGTCAGCACCTGTGAAAAGGCAGCATCCGTGCTCCCAGCAGCACCCCTCCCCGTGAACGAAAAACTGTCTTTCCGAAGAGTATTCAACAGTATCAACTCGCAGACCCACTCCCCCCTCCGCATCTCGATTTGCGTCAAATTTAGGCCATCGTCGGCCGTGCTTCCTCTAAACCTAAGTATTTTCTCCCGAAGAACATTATTCGTCAACACCACGCCGCGGATCTGTCCCCAAATTTGCTCTTCCATCGCGTTTTGGGGGCCCGCACAGCACATTGTTTTCCCTTCACTGTCGCCTGTGTGACTCTTCTCCCCATCACGCCTAAGCTTAGTAGGTTCATGAGGAGAGCAGATAACCTGCATCACTGTGTACAGGACGGGAGGTGACCATATATGGTCCATCGTCCATTTGCGGTAAAGATGTTTGCTTCCACTTGCAGTGGCGTCTTCGTCAAGCCGAACCATTCGGGCGGCACCATCACGGCAGCACCCTAAGCCCAAATGCTACTTCACTACTGCCACAAATCCCTCGGCAAGGAAAAATTGCACCCCGTGGCAGGTTCCCACATCCTCGTGTTGTCACTTGCCACACGGCATCGTCTACTAGACAAACGCAGCCGACACCACCACCACCCTTCGGCAAAGCGAACACCGATGCCGGGGGTCATACAGTCCCTGTGAAAAAGACCAGAGTATGCAGAATCTTCATTAGCATCATCTCCGTAATATGGACGAAGCATCAAATACCAAGAACAAATAAAAGAAGACGAAAAGAAAGGTCTTCCGCCATTGTCAGCGAAGCCTCGCGGTGTCGACGCACTTTGTTCGCTGCAGCTATCTTGGCCATCAGTTCATTGGCTACAGGTTCCCCGACGCGAGTCCTTCCGCCGGTGGCAGCGGCTGCCACAAAGAGGAGAGCAGCAGCAGCCTCTCCCCCCCAAGGGAGTCGGGTGTGGTGCAAGCAGAAGACGAGGACGTGCCGGAGCAGCAGGAAGAGGCAGCTGCAGAGTCATAGCCATCGAGAGGAGACTCTGGCGCTGAGCAGCTTATAGCGGACTGCTTGCTGAGGTCCCCCTTGCACCTTGATGTCTCCACTCCCTGCGACGCTGGCGTCTTACGTGCGCTGCTGCTCGTCTCTGTCAACGCTGCCTCCGAGGAAACACTTCCCACGGGCCGTCTGGCAGCCAACAGCTCCAAAGCGGAAACCTTTTGCTCCAAGTCCTTAAGGATCGACACCTGAGAGGCAGTAACTCCTGAGTCAGCCGCCGCACCCTGCTGCGATAGCGTCGGCTTCTCAAGGGCTGTTTCCGCGCCGAGTCGCAGAAGGAGCTGCTGGTTCAACAGAGACTGACTGTCCAGCTTGCCTGGGAGAAGGCCAAGCACAGAACCCGCCGATCCTAGGAGACCCTCTGAGGTATGGGCAGGCGTCTGCTCTTCAGCTCCTGCTCCTGCTGCTGCTGCTGCTGCTCTTGCTACGGTTCCCGAACCCTCGCGCGGCGGCGCATTCTTGCTCAAACTCTGCGTCAGCTCCATGATTTGACGCTGGACTGCCAGCAGCTCGATGACCTGCAGATATTGCGCTGCAATGGTGTAGTTCGTCGTCAGCAACTGGAGGCTCAGCTGGGAGCCTGCGGCCCCTTCTCCCGGTGCAGCGGAGACGGCAGCGCCTGCGGCTTCGCCGCTTTTTGCATGCTCCCTCCGAGGCACCTGAGCACTGAAAGGTGGTGGCAAGTGGTGGAGAGCCTTGCTAGACACAGCAACAGCTGGGGAGCTCAGGCTGTCGCTAGCCACACCCACCGGAACCTTCGGCCTGCGGAAGCACTTCCGCTGTTGTGCTTGCTGCTGCTGCTGCTGCCCGCCGAACCCCGTGCTGTTGCTGCTGCCGCCAGCGTTGCCGCCGCTCAAGCACGACGCTCTGTGCGGCTGTCTCGCCACGTCGGCTGTCGTCTCTTCGTACGACGACCCAGGAAGCTCGGCGGAGAAGTACACACGCCCTCGCGGACTCGCCAGCGCCTCATCAACGGGCGTGTGCTGATGCCGCTGCTGCTGCTGCTGCTCCAGCCTCCTGCCCTGAGGCTCCTGCTGCAGCAAGGCTCTGAGATCGCGCAGCTCGCCCTGCTCCAAGGGACTCCCCAGGGAGCCGCCCAAGGCACCTCCCAGAAGAGAGAGCTGCAGGCTGTCGTCTGCGCCGTCTCGGTGCGCAAGGGAACCCCAGTCCCACAGCGTGTCGAGGATATCGCCTCCTCGGCTGGCTTGCCCGACGCCGCAAGGCGCAGAGGAGACTCCAGATGCTCCTTCTCCCCCCACGAAGCCTAGGCCTCCCGCTGCAGACGCCGTCGCATGCCCCTCCGCAGCCGCAAGAAGGAGCGACCGCTGCAAGTCTGCCCCCCCGTCCCGCCTTCCGAAGGCAGCAGCAGCCGCCGCGGCGAGCACTTCGTGCTGCTGCTGAAGCTCCTGCTGCTGCTGGGAAGTCGCGCCAGCACCCCCCGAGCTGCAACCACCCCAGTTAAAAAGGCCGCTGGACGCCGCTGCAAGATCCGCGGCAGCCGAGGAGGCCCCTGTCGCTGCCAATGCAGTCAAATTCGAAACGCTGGCTGCTACCCGGCCCTTCTTTGGGGGGGGCGGAGCGGGAAGCCTGAGGGGTTCGCCCAGCGTCTCGTAATCGCGTAAATACGCAGGACTGTTGCGTCGCGTCCGCTTAGGTCTAGAAGAGAGAAACTGCCCCACATCGTCGCCGCTAATGTACGAAGGAGGCTTCCGACTTCGTTTGCGGTCCCCCTGAAGCAAACGACTGCTTCCTGGTGCTGCAGCATCCTCGCCAGCTGCCTCAGCGCCCTCCGCTCCCTTGCCACCGGTCGCCGCTTGTGCGCTTTGCTGCTGTTGCTGCTGCTGTTGCTGAGTCGATACACCCGCACCAGCAGCACGTGTTGGGCGCCGCTTCCTGTGGGAGCCCCCACCGGCAGCATCGCTGCCATACTCCTCAGAGCACTTGACTGCAAAGTCGAAAACCCCCAAAAGATGCGCCAAATGAAACAACTCGATAACCGTGGCGTACGGCATTCTGCTGAAGACGATGCGGTGTCGCGACAGCTCCTCATCCCACTTGGCAGGATTCGCATGGTAAGCCTTCCTCAACCGACGCAGCAAGATCTGCCTTCCCTCAGCTCCTAGAGGCATCCGAAACCCCTTGCACCACTGCAGCCGCTGCCCTGAGGCTCCTGGTCGCACGTGCGACTCTATACGCTCCACTACAGCATCCAGGGGATGCCAGTCGCCGCTTCTGTCGGTTGCACGACGCACGGGGGCTCCCCCAGCGGGAGATCCCTCGCTCTTCGCTGCTAGACTCCTCATATTCTCAGCAATGGTGATGTGCGATTCTGGCAAGACGGAGGGATCTGACGATTGACTGGCTTCATTTCCTGCAGCCCCCTCCTTCGGAGGCGGCGACTGCGTGTCCTCTTCCGCTTCTGCTCCCTCTGATGCCTGCTGGAGGTGCTCCTCATGAGGAGGCACTGCATGTGCCTGGGGATCTTCAGACTGCGCCTGTTCAAGAGGAGGCTGAGGCTCGGGCTGGCGCGAGGCAGCTCCTCCTTCCTTTGCCAGAACCTCCGACTTCACGGACTCCACGGAGGAGGCTGCGGAGGCGACAGGCAAGGCTGCTTCCTTGACGCACTGCGCGTCGAACGCATATTCTGCTTTCTCGCTGGTGGTGTTGAAGGCGGAGTCTTTCGTGTTCAGGGAAGCAGAGGCAGCAGCAGCAGCGGCAGCATCAACCGCGCAGCCCTCGTCTTTGTGGACCGTTTCCAGTTGGGGATACGGTTGCTGCTGGTGCCACTTTCTTGACTCTTTAGGTGTCTCGGCATTGAGGAGCAGTGGTGACACATCGCTTGCCAAGAGCGCAGCCAGCGAAGGCAGAGCAGGGGCTGAGCTGGACATGGTCGCCTGTGGGATCAGGGTGACGTAGTTCCTGGAGAAGCGTCCAAAAACGGCCAAAAAAGAGAAAAAGGAAAAGCAACAGACACCACGAAGGGAACCGATCCCCAAGCCAGCTAGCCGTCAAAGGGGCGCCTCTGCTGCCGCTGCTGCTCCTGCGCTGGCGTGTCCGCCTTTAGGAATGGGCGCTTGCCGAAGAAGACCATTAAATAAAATCGTGCGGAACGTGTCTGTACCCAAAAGTAGAAAGGATACTCCTCCAGAGACGGCCTATAGCCAGAGGTCGTGGGGAGCGTTGCCGCTGGCTGTGTTCGGACGTATGTATTTGGGGAGCTTTCGAATGTCTGCTGCTGCAAGGTAAGTAAAACGAAGATGAAGGTGTCCAGAAGGAGAAAAGCGCCTCAAACACCCCAGGATACCCGCTGCAGCGCCTCTCAGGAGCCACGCTGACCAAGAAGCGGAACCGAGAGCAAAGAGCAAGGGGCAGAAGCGCATATGCAGCAAATGTCGTTCTCGTTTCCAGTCCTGAGGCTCCAGAAGGCCCTAATACGCAAAAAGGAGCAGAAGAAAGAGGAGGAAAGCGCAGCGGAGTCCGCAGAGAAACAGCGTGTCTGTGTATATGGCCAGTCTCGATGCTCAAGGGAGCAGCCGATCCCTGTGCAGTCCTGCACAAAATATACAACGCCAAACCCTGAGCCTTCAAATCCTCTTCACACACCCCAAATGCCTTACGGTACTTGGACGCTGCTCACAGACAATCAGCAACAACTGCTTTAAACGAAGTGCCGCAACAGAGCACTGCAGCAGCAGCAGCGCACGCGGCGGGGAGCCTCATTGGCTGCACCGGTGCTCCCTCATTGCTGCAAGCTGCTCTGCTGTCTCCCCGATCCGCTGAACGCGAAGCATCCGATCTCCTTTTAATAATTTTGAGCGTTTTCTTCATTATCCATGCTCAATCGTAGCAAAGAATGCGCGCCGACGCAGCACAGCCCGTCAATCCATCAACTCCGCCGGATACATGGGCAGTACGAGGACTCAGCTACGCAAACTCCCATCCAGTTGCAGGAGAAGGCGCCTTATAGGCCTGTCTCTGTAGCCCCACACGTTTCTTGCATCCCTTGTTCGAGTTGTCTAGCCGATTTTTCGTGGATGCAGGCACCAACAGAGGGCCATTGTACTGCGAACAGCGGCCGTACTGCCCAGGTGCCGAAGGAGCATAAAAGCGAGAAAAAAGTGCTCGATCCGCAAGAATACGCGAAGAGATGCGTGCAGATCCAGAAATACCGGATTTCTTGTTGACACTGCGACACTGAGGTCCCCCCATCGCCCCCCCCACCAGGGGAGTAGTCAGTCGCACCCTCGTAACGGCTGCAGTACAATAGCACACGGTCCGAAGGAGCAGCGATTGGACAGTTGCCTGTAGACTAATTGCGTTGATTTGCGGTCAAACGAAGCGTGATTTGCAGGCTTCGGCTTATTTCAATGACAGACGTCGATTAGCAGGGGACTAAGTGCCAGGTTGATTTCCTGTGCGCGATTATCGAGTTTTGTGCACCAAGCTGCACTGTGTACTCGAACGCTTGTGAATGTCTGTAGTGCTCTAAGGAGGCAGCTACTTCAATATTCTCCATTTTACTGCTGTCTGGGGAAGCTAAACTTTGTGAAGAGGGGCCAACGCGAGTGGACTGGTAACGGTATCGCTCCATTGAAGGTCCGTAGGGGGGAGACATTGAAATGCAGACTCTTTACAAATTTCATTGAATGCTGTTGAGTGGTTCTCAGAAATACCTCGTCTTTTTCCCTCCCGCGCCCCTCAGAAATTCGATATGCGGGGGAATAGACAGCTAGGATGCGCGTAGCTGATCCCTCGAGCCACTCTGAGCATGCACAGCAAGTTGCGCCTGGAATGCAGTGTGCAAATGCACTAAGCTGATTTTTCTTGTCCCGAGACAACGCTACTCTGCAGTATGCTTCATATACGAGCAAACAAACCAGTTACGCGATTTGCATTTAAAAATATACTTAGGTATTACTGGCCGAGTAGACACTGTCTAAGTGTGACTTGGCCTGGCACATCACTCGCCCCTTATTTCAAACACACCTTCGTATTCCATGTCTGTACGTCGAGCCAGCTGCATGCAGAAAAGTGGATAAGTTACCGCATATTTGTCACTTTCAACAGGGCGGAAACGCAAAAACAGTGCAAATGAGGAAAGCAAATGTGTGCATAAACCAGCAAAGTGAAATTCACCGAAACAAAGCCAGACGGGCTAGCCAGAAAGGAGGAGAACCGAACCAGCAGGATAGTCGCGGCGCGATGCCCCGCCGTCGTCAAAGAGTTAAAATAAGTGCATCCTCTGCTACGAGAAACCAGAAAACAAGTAAATTGTCTGGAAGAAAACAAAGTGCACACTAGTTCAGAAGTGCCTTCGCGCGTTATAGAGCAATGCTTGCATGGAAATTCAGCCGGTGCGTGCAGCATAGTTAATTGTGAAGCCCCAAAACAGGCATCAGGAAGAATAATATAAACAGCTTACCTGAGAGTGCCCGCGCATAATTCTGGGTGTAGAGAATTCCTTAACCACATTAGCCAAAAACTTCCGGAACAATACCAAGGGCTAAAGGCGGCTCTTTCAGGCAACGCACGTAAAGAAGAAGGACAATTATCATGAAACGTGCGAAATGCCATTGCAAGGAATACCGTACATGGCAATTGTCCTAATTGAACAGGACCACATATTCTCTCGTATGGAACGAAGCCCACGACTGCTCCACCATCAAACAGTGAGCACCACGTTCCCAACAGCCTTTTAGTAGAAAGTCGTGTCTAGTGTGTCCTCGACCCTCGAGAGTCTCAGGATCCACCAAATTGACTCCCCGTAAATCCTACACCTCCACACGGGTCATTTGTCACCATCGCAAAGTCCGCGAATAGGTCCAGGTGTTTCGCAACCTTCTTTGGAGACTCTCCAGCTTTACCCGCATCAATAGAGTAGGGACGAACAGTGGTTCTTGGCAGAGTGGCAAATCGTCCCACGTACCGGACCACGACTTGGTCTGGTCACGTGTTGGACCCCGTGTAGGCTGCCTATCCACCAATATCAGACCTGTGGGCTTAGAAAAACAGCCAACTAGCGCTTTGAAGAGGCATGTGCTCTTCGCTCTTGAGCTTTGTGCATACAGTCCCGTGCACTAGCTAGCTGCTCTCAGAATCCTTTCACTGCTAAGTGTGTCTACTGATCTCGGACTATTAGGTTCAGGCCTGAATTTCAGAGGGTCCTTGAGTGCGAACCAGTGATATTGAAGAAGAGCAGGTAGACGAGTGTACTGTTCTATGATTAGCCTACTTAGCTCAAGGAAGAAAACAAGTCAAGCAGGTGGGTAGTTGTGAACATAGAGTAGCAAATAGTGCAGCAGTGTGCGGTTGGTGCGGTTTCTCTGTAAAGGTCTTATGGTGGTTCGTTGTGTTCATATTATGGTGAATGCGTAGGCCGGTCTTGAAGGCGTGCAATAAAACACTAGCGAACTTCGGATACTTGTCCCCAATGATACTCCTGGGTAAGTTGTGAACCTTCAGACATTAGTTTAAAATAAGTGAGAGAACTTCCCAAGCCGTCACAAGTAGAGCTGTAGCAAGGGATGAAAAGGGCGAAGCTGCTGACTCTTTTGGCAACGACGCAGATGCTATCCTGAACCTTTACCTCCAGAAGGCCAACCAGGCCTTGCATGGTCAGATCAGTCCAAACCCTTTCAGAAACGGGGAGGCTTTGCTCAAGGCCTGGCTTAGAAAAGTTGCGTAGCTTTATGGCAACACATCGTATGCTCCTTCGCCGTGAGTAGCATCCCACGCCACCTAAAGCACGGTGAGAACTTTCCACTCTGGTGTGAATTTCATCAAGGCCCAGAAGAGCACGTTCAGATGCTTTGTGGAAAACGAAACAACGGAGTGAAGTAGGAATATGCAAGTGGCTGAGACCGCAAATTTTCGGCAAGCGTCGAGAGACATGCGCGTTAATAGCACACGATTTACGCAGTTTCGATATCAACCATGAATTATCACATACAAGAATAGTTCCGTCACGCAGTAGTGAAGCGCTGGGGCATCGCCACAAAGACCACGTCGGTGACGTCTTTCCTAGAGTTCACATGTAAAAGTCGGACTGGAGGCATCTAAGCCCGCAAGCAACTGTTGGCGTATGAATGTCACGAAAATCCTTCTCAAGCTAGATTAAGAACTGAAGACCGGTCTAAGAGGTTGGTTTCGGCGAAACGCAAAGAACCGCCTAAAAGAACTTATTTTTGAAGAACCCGTAGCTTGTTGAGAAAGATTGGCACCTATTTCTACATCGCTAGCGTCGGGTGCTAGAAATAATGGACACTGATACGCGAGCAGCGCTCTTACCGGAGGAGTTGGTTGGTGGCCACTAAGTGTCACTGCTCCTGCCTGAGCCTCCTCTGACCAGCTTACAGATTTACAGACTGCATTTTAACTAGAACGATGAAAGGAACAACGGTGTGGACAAATCCAGTAATCGAATTCCGATTGCAAAAGATTAAAGGCCGTAGAATTGGAAGCCTCCTTGGTAGCGCGCAAGGCTAAAGCCGCGCCTTGAATGCTTATATATTGGCCCGATCTGGCTCATTTCCTGTGTCAAAAACACAAAGTCCCTGGAACACAATCGTTATCAAGAAAGATGATTACTTGATTGCCTTCGCATGCCACTGCTTACCCCTAACGCCTTAAGCAGACACCGCCGGTGGCGTTGGTGATCTTGAGCATCTTGGCTTAACACTTAGACGCTATCCATTTAGAATGCTGTCCACCCCTCCCTGATGCCCTTGAAAAGATCTCGACTAACATGCTACCTCAGCTCAGGTGGGTCAGTCCATTGCACTTTAACTGGGGTGCTTACCGGACCGGGTGGCATACAAGCACTCTCATGCTTTCAACCCTGAGGCTTACTTAGGGATTAGCTCAATACGGTGCACTGGACGTCGAGCAGGTGGTCAGACTGCTGGCAGCTCGTCATTATTTAGCACATCCCGCAAGCTCCAATTTTAGAGTTGCCGATCCTGCTGTTTCTTGACCAAACAAATTTAATGAAAATCTTTGATAACGAATTAGCTGAAAAGCCAGGAAAACGATATGCATCCTCAGAACCGTCTTCTCGTACCCCGCTGCTGAGCGGTCCCCATAGAGTCTCCGCCTCAACTTGTTGAGGGAGTGATTCTATGCCGCTGCCGTGGATGAAGTGTGCGTTACCGATGAGGCAGAGGCTTGATCTCTCCAGTGCTTTAGGGGCCAACAACCTCAACAGCGCGCACCTGGAGAGTCATTTGCACTTTCCTGCTTGGCCATCCCCTGCACACTTAGCATCATGCCGTGGACGAGTTTAAGCTGAAGATCACGGACCACGCTGATAAAACCAGTCCATATTTGAAGCGATATCGAGCTTCCCTTCCTTCCTGCGGAGAGACAGAAAAGGAAAGGGCAGGGCGGGGTAGAAAACCTCTTGCAAACACTCGATAGATTTCAGTAAGGTTTACGCGGAGTCCGTAGTTGCGCAAGTTCCTGCGGAGCCTCTTGAGGAAGCATCACAGCCGGGCACGTCTTTTCACCAAAGTGTAGCAAGCGCGCATTAGGTACACTGAGGTAGGGGCTGTCTAGCCGTTTTGTAGGCATGTCGAGGCCGTGCTTGGAAGAACGTGTTTTCAGGGAGTGCGAAAGTGCAAAGGGTTTTTCCGACACACAGAATCGGGCAGGACCTCTTTGGAGATGTGCTGTACGTCAGACAAGGGATGATACAATAACTTCAATGTGCCTCCTCTACAAAAAGCTCCTCTACAAACGAGCCGGAGCAGCAGGTGCAGCCCTGCACCTAGCTCCTTGAGCTTCAAAAAGCCAACAGAACGTTGCGTTTCGGTTTTGCGCATTGTGTCGTTTTTGTTCCTCCTTGCTACCTACGACCCTCAGAGGCTACCGGACCGTCCGTACAGGGTCCAGCCTCCGGCAGACATGATCACCCAACGCCGTTTCTCCGAAGAAGCAGAGACTCCTTGCCAGTGCTGCCCTAGCGGCTCAGGCCTCCCGCAGCAGCGGGAGCCACTGTGAAACGAGAGACGATGCAGAAAAAGCGGGCAAAACTGCTCCTGGACGCGTGGCTCTACGTCAGCTCGTGCTGTGAGAAGGTCGTGCCTGAGGAGACCTCTATGATAACAGTGAAGCCTAGGCCAAAGGCAGAGAAGGCGGCACGCTAGTTACGCAAGAATCGCGTGGCAGCAGGCAGCCAGCCAGCGGGAAAACGAAGCGGATACAGGCACAAAACAGCCAAATACTAAAGGGTTCTTGAGCAGAGCAGACTCTCGAGGGTAGGCGGAAGCAGCGCGAACAGGGGCCCTGACGATGGCGTCTGCGAGCACCACCCCCCTCCTCAGGCGTCTCTGCAGGCGGTACACGCCTTTAAGTTCCTTAATTTCAACCGCATTGCAGCAGCGGCAGTAGCAGCAGCAGAAGAAAGCCAAAGAGCAACTTGTCAGCTCTGAGCAAGGACGCGCGGAGGCTCGATGCGCTTCCTCAGTAGGGGAAATCCAGCGGGAGGAAGGCCTTCTCTACACGAGATACCATACTTCGGACGCGTTCTTGCACGGAGGCGTCAGTGCAGTGTACCTGCGAGAGAAATTCAAAAGCATCAGGAGGCCTTTTAATGCACATGCCTCTTCAGGTACTCAACAGGACAGCCCTAGTAGTGTTTGCGAACACGACATTAGCAGCCACACGCAAGTGAAGAGGCTTGCTGCTGCCAGGCAAGCGGCAGAGGCAGCGCCACTAAAGGCAGCAGCAGCAACAAGAAGAAGACAACTCCCCTCGACATGAGCAGCAGCAGCTCTGACCTGGCGTTCAAAGAAGTCAACACACACATGCACGCTGCAACCCCCCGTGGCTTGAGGTGGCTTCAGGGGGGTTGTCTCTCGCGCCTCTCCCTTAACGGCAGTTTCTTTGCAGGTTACTGCTACGCCTGCTGCTGCTGCATCTTCTTCCTCTGGTTTGGCAGTTGCAGCTTGAGGAGGATCTGCTGTGGCCGTTGGATTCGCTGCTGTGGCTGTTTGTTCAGCAGCTGTGTAGAAGGTGAGGCACAGGCCCTCCACGGCGCCGTCCGCAGCCAAAACTTCGGCTAGTGGAACCTCCTCATAGGCATCAGGCCCTGTTGCTCCGTTTTCTGCTGCCTCTGGCAAGCCTTCTGCTTGGGAGGGGGTGCTGGTGCTGCGCGGCGGCTGTCTGCGTTTTCGGCAGAGGAGGACCTCCCCGAAATGCTCCTCGAGGTGCTGCTGAATGACTTGCAGAAGAAGGAGCTCCGTCTGGTCCGTGGAGTCTTCGCCGTCTTGCGCAATCTTGCAGCCGTGAGTGCCTCCTGTAGGCGAGTCGTTGAGAGCCTCTCTTGTTGCAGAGGGATTCCGCAGAGTTGGACGAAGGAGATCGCATGCCAGAAACAACAGGGAGTCTGCTACCAAGTCCGCTGTAGGGCTTGAATTCCAGCAAACTTCGATCCACCTCCTGCTCGGAGGAGCCGCCTTCGCGTTTGCAAGGCTAGCAGCAGCAAGGGGTTCCCCCTCCGCCTCCGGAGCTTGCAGCGAAGAGACACTCCGCGAGGCTCCTTCCTGCGCTACGCGCTGGACGCTGACGCAGTCTGCAACTAGGAAGGCGCAACACTGCTCGTCGCTGCAGCAGACGGGGGATGTCTCGGCCCTCTCTGCTTCCCTGTCGCTGCTGCCTGCGGCACCCGTGTTGCTGAGGCACATACACTCCAAAGGTTGCACCGCGTCGAAGATATCGGCTGCTGCATCCGCAAGAACCTGCAAGGGGAGAGGAAAGGGGAGCCGAATTTGCTGCTGCAGGGAAGCGCATGCAACGCCTGTGAGCGCTTCCATTTCTGCTGCAGCCACGAGAAGCGGCTGCCTTCCTGGTTGCATCATCAGCAAGGCGTCAAAGTCCTCCTTTTCATCCTTATCCTCTGCCTCCTGTTGCTCCCTTTCCTTCTCTTTCTCCACGCATCCTGGGGGGAAGGCAACTGCCTTCGCGTTCACCTTCCCCTCTGGGCCCGCCTCCTCCTCCTGCGAGTTGTCGGAACTGCCTTGGATCTGCGATTTTTGCTTGCGTTTCATGAGCTGCTGCAAACCTTCGGCTGCGCTGCCTATGGCGATTGCGCATCTGTTGGGCTGGAAACGCAAAGCTACCGACTGGAGGATCTCGGGGGTGAACACCGACAGCGCGGGGTTCTCTTGCAGCAGCTTTTCTTGCAGACGCTTCATCTCCGTCCTCTCTCCGTGGACGAGAACAACGTTTGGCACTCGCAGCCGCTCAATGAAGTCTCGCGTTTGATTGTAGTCTGAGTGAGCCGAGAAGGAGATGACTTCCACCTGGCAACGCCGACGGAACTGCCGATCCGGCAGCTGGAGGACCTCTTGCTCCCTCCGAACGTCGTCTGCTAGCGTGCCTCGCACAGTGTAACCCGTCAAGACAATCAGATTCCTCGCAGAACCCCCCCACGCTTCGAAGGCGTCGCGAGAAGGTCCAGACTGAAGCATTCCGGGAGCCGCCAGCAGCACGCACGGGGTAACCCCATGAATGTGTGCTGCAATGTCGTCCAAAGAACGAACAATGTGAACATGCCGCAAGTCGAAGGGCTTTTCTCCCTAAATACACACAGCACGGCAACGGATGCAGCACTCGAAAGAGGCGGCGCGTGTAATTCGAGAGAAAGAAAGAAGAGAGAAAGTGAGAGAGAAAGTGAGAGAGAAAGAAGAGAGAGAGAGAAAGAAGAGAGAGAGAGAGAGAGAAAGAAGAGAGTGAGAGAGAAAGAAGAGAGAGAAAGAGACAAATAACAAGCTCCCCTTAAAGGACTTTGTTGGCAAAAAACGCATGCACACAGCAGGAGGGGAGAAGGTGGGGTGGTAGAGAAAAAAAAGTTCCCCCAGCCTCCTCAAATAGAGTCACTACCCCCAAAACGAGTGACTATGAGAAGCAACATAGGACACAGTCAGCTCTGCTACATCCTTCTTTCGTCCTCTGCCGCCCAGACGAAACACTCGCGGATGCTCTGATCTGCACAATACATGCCACTAAGCTGACCACACTAAGCACCTCAGGCGCTCTAGGGGCACGATACAAATATATACATATATATATATTTATTTATTTATACAACGCAAGTATTTATAATGGAGCGTCCGTATATATATATATACATATGTATATGGATGATAAAGCACATGTATGGATAATAGAGCACCTGTGTAGATATCTGTGTAGGCGAAAACCCACACACGCAGCCAACACGCAAATCAAATCTCATCCATGAGCCTTCCTTCACATGCAAACTAGAATAAGAACTCTTATATCAAAATTCGATGGCCAAGCGTTCACAAGCTGCCCGACAAAGAAGCCGTGGCACTGCGAATACGCCAGTCGCATTTCCATACATTATGCGTATGCATTTAGCCAAAACATTTATTTATATATATACAACACCCACCGAATACGGCAATCGACGTGCATGTAGAGAATAGAAACATACATACCACATGTACAGGCGCGAACCCTTCAGGGCAGTGGCTCTCTTTCTCTCTCTCTCTTTTCTGTATTTCTCTATCTCTCTCTCTTTTCTGTATTTCTCTATCTCTCTCTTTACTCTATTTCTCTATCTCTCTCTCATTCTCTCTCTGTTTCTCTCTCGGTTGCGTCTTTCTGTAATGAGAAAGTGAAGGGAGCGTGAGGCGTGTGCAGCGTTGTTTTGACACTATGTACGTGTACACATATATATATATATACATATAGCAGTCCTCCTATGCCTGCAATTACCTGTAGAGCCCTTTGCCTGAGTTCGTCGCCGCACAGATCGACGAATGCCTCGAAGACGGCCATGCTCTTCGCACTGAGGGGCGAGACAAAGAAGATAGGGACGCGTTGCAGCGCCGGGTGGCTACGCCAGTGATCATCGAGGATGAGCAGCAGCTCCTGCGCTCGTCCAAGAGCAAAAACTGGCAGCAAAACTTTGCCCCCCCGGGAAACTGCGTCTGAAATCGCGCGTAGAAGACGACGCTCCCGCAAGGGTCTAGCCTCGTGCACGCGAACCCCGTAGGTGCTCTCGCTGATGAGAACGTGAATGTCTGTATCTGGAATTTCCGCGATAGGCACATGTCTGTCTTGCTCTCTGCTGAAATCTCCCGTGTATAGCATGCGAACTCCGCCGATTTCGACCACAAACATGCACGCCCCAACAACATGGCCAGCGCCGTAGCAGGCGATCTTGGCGGGACCGACGGTTACCTGCTGTCTGAATTCGAGAGTTTCCACGACTTGCAGCGTATAGGCAATGTCATCCTCCGTGAAAAGGGAGAGCTCCCCGCCTTCTCCCTCCGAGAAACGACCCATACGCGCGTAGTCTTGCCACAGCAAGCGGCAGATGAGGCGTGTTGGCTGTGTCATGAAGACGCGACCTCTGAAGGCTGTCTTCGTCAGGAGGTAGGGGAGAGCTCCGCAGTGGTCTAAGTGGAAGTGAGTAATCAGACAAACGTCGACTTTGTGCATCTCCTCGCCATCGAAGAGAGGCAAGGCCCCTATGCCGCTATGCGCAGGGTGGATGCCGCAATCAAACATAATCTTGAACCCTCTGTACGACACCACTACACACGAACGCCCCACCTCGCAGCCTGCCCCCAAAGGCAGCACATGAACGCAGTCGTCCTCCTCCGACTCCGAAGCCTCCGCAAATGTGCTGCTGCAGACTCGACGTTTCCCCCCAGGCAACGCCACAGGGGGGATGCCAGGGGCAAGGGAGCACGTTTTCTCAACACGCAAGGATCCCGATAATGCAGAAGAACCCCCTGCACCAGCAGGCCCTCCCCAAATCTGAAGCGGCATCCTTGCGAACGTAATGCGCCAATGGGTGGAAGAGAGAGAGAGAGAAAGAGAGAAGAGAAAGAGAGAGAGAGAGAAAGAGAGAGAGAGAAAGAGAGAGAGTGTGTGTGTTTGAGAGGTATGTATTCAGAACAAAGGGGTGCACAAGCTCAGAATTACGAGACTGAGGAGGGTGGCTGTGGTCGCAGGGAGAGGCAGTGCTGCAGAGTCGAGTTCCCAGGCTGCTGCGTCGGTCTGCCACTGGTTGCAACGCTGCCTTTCGCTACCCTGAAGGGAGTTCGCTGGGGAAGGCGGCTGCGAGAGCTTCTCGCAGAAGTTAGTGCAGCGAGAGGCAGCGTGAAGGGGGAGGGCAGAGCGCTGTGCTCATTCTGTTTCTTTGGACCCTTGTACTGATCCCAAGCTCTGTGGAGGCGAGGAACTGTCAGAAGGGAGCCACATGCGCAGACAAGCAGGGCAACCGACCGAAGGCAGAGCAGCATACCTGCTGCGCGCTGCCAGAGATACGCCGCTCTCAGAGGAAAAGCGGCGGAAACTGTGCTGACTACCCAGAGGGAAGGGGAGGACAAAGTCAGCAATAAGGCGGTAAGATGTACAAAGAGCTTGCGATTGGGCGCCGCCGCAGGGGAACGGAAGAAGAACAGTCCCATGAACACACACGGGGCCCTCCCCCCAGTACACAATAGGGCCTGCTGCTCTTTTGCGCTAATTATTTGACTTTAATCTTGTTCTTAGAATTAAGACAGCGTTTTCCCAGCTCTTTGCAGCCAGCAAAGGCGTGCTTCCTTCGCCACGCATGCCCTTCCGTGCGTTGGACGGAAGCGCCACGAGCTGTATGTACACTTCGCGATGACTCAGCAGACATAGTAGCCTAGCGGAAAGCACCTGTCCTGTTCTGCCTGCGCTCTCCCTGCGGACGCGTAAGAGCTCTCGGGGAGTGTCTGCTTTCTTCGCATTCGTTCTCCCCGTATAATGCGCCGCACGAATACACAGATCCCGCGCTGCGTTTTCCTCCCTTCGCACGCCCTCATGCCCACCTTCTCCCCTTTGTTCCAGCCTGTATAGCATAACTCGCTGGCACAGAGGCTGGCGCTGTCTCCCTCGGGAGCCGGCCTCCGAGAAGCCCGACCGCTACAGAGATCGATGGACGGGCATGAAGAGCAAAGTGGGAACCCTTTACCGTAATAGTGCACCTCGTTAACCCTCACCGACACCCCAAGCCACAGGTCCCTCCTGCCCTTCCTCTTTCTTGCCCCCCCGCTTGGCTCCTCACAACCGACACAAACTCCCCAAGTTCTCCCTGTTTGCCTGCATGCACGATCTCTCCGTTGCATCGCTATTTGGTCATATATATATATATATGCGCAAATGAGAAACGCGGAAAAGGTCTTCAAAGGAACGGACAGGCGGTAGGCAGAGCCGAAAGAGCGGTTCTTTTAAGGCCGTGACATGTCGCTGCCGCCTCCCCCTACACTTTAGGAAGAGGCTTCACTAGTTGCATGCGCCTTGAGACTACCTTCCGCAAGATCCGCGGTGCTTTGCAGGCGTTAAAAGCCAGAAGCAGCACAGACTCTAAGAAACATGCAGCAGTCTACTAAGACCAATCGGCATATTAGCGCCCCTCCAGGACCGACTCCTGCTACTGGGTGCTGTCTTTAGAGGACTAAAATCTTGCGATGCAAAGCAGAGACTCCTGCTGCATCCCCCTTAGGTTTAGCTACGAAGCAGCCGCCTATCTAAGCTACACATCGGGCTGCCTACTGCACTTGCGCCCCCCAAAAGCCCTTCTTAAAAGATCCGGTCACAACTCGACCGGGTACGGAGTGCCAACCGAGTCCACGCTATAGCAACTGTCTCGTGAACACGCGCTGTAAAAGCAGCTCGCTCTTTAGAGCTTTCCAAATAACCGCGGACTGTCGCCCCAGCTGCTAGCTAAGCAGCAGCGGCCAGCGGCGCGGTAGCTGTGGCGGCATTTGCTATCCCATGGCATGCACTTTCTTCTTTAGGAGAGGCGAAGCCTCGAAGTTGGGGAGCGATGCCTTGCAGTCCAAGACGAGCGCACCGAGCCTCTCTGCTGCAGATTGCTGCTGGTGGCGTGAGTGTCGAGGTTGAAAAACTGCCTTCTGTTCCTCTAAAAAATCGAGGCAGTCACGTGCGGAGGGAAACATCAACGTGCGTTGGAGAGAAGCCACTGTCGCTGTGGGGGATACTCTGTACGCAGAAGCGGAAAAACAGCCACCGAGGCTCTAAAAGGCGGAAGTTCTTGCCTTTCGAGGCCGTCCTTCCTCCTTGGGGGGAGCCTCTCCAGCATCGGAAGGCGAATAGCAACTCAGATGCACAGATAATCGCTTAGAAACACGAAAGGGGGGTCGCCGGCGGTTGCAGAGGGAGAGACAGAGGACGCATACACACACACAGAGAGAGAGAGAGAGAACGGGGAGACAAAAAGCCATGTGTGTTAGGGGTACAAAGGCCCCTCACCTGCAGAGTGCAACAAGTGCCTGCATCTGCACTTTAGGTCTGAACAGCTCGCACAGGTCTTCGACGCAGAAAGGAGCTTCGCCTAACATCCTAAAGAAGCGTCGCCAGTTCCCATGCAGTAAACTTGCCCCCAACAGGCGGCACTGCTGCACCTGTGGTGATTGCCGTTCTTGGACAGCCATCTCTCCTGTGCAGCACACGGGAGGGCAGCGAGCATGCATGCGATGAAGCGGCTTTCTCATTTCTTCGCTCCGAAAATAAGGCCGGCAGCGAGAAGCAGCAAGGGGTATAGACGCTTGCGGCGTATGGCGGGGAGTTTACACAGGCATGCAGAATCAGGAAAGGGGATGAGCCAGCATAAAAACGGGAACCGAATGAGGGCGCTAGAAAGAGGAGAGACACACTAAAAACAGAGCGAATGCACACGCTAGCGACAGTTGAAGGTGGGGAATATTTAGGAGAGAAGGAGCAGGCATCCAGCTTCTGTATGCCTGTCTCTCTCTCTCTCCCCTTCCTTCTCTCTCTTTCGCAAAGACGCACTATAGAGCCTGAGGAGGTCGAGACGCATGCCTTGCAGGGCCATATACACGAGGCGGTAGCAGAGGAACTCAAGCTGTACAGCCGACACACACACACACACACACACATATCCACACACGCTGCCCGTTGAGCCCGTTCGCTGCTGCAGCCAGCCCCATTACATAAAGGCGCCTCTTCCATGCACCTCCAGTGCTGGTATTTAGCGTCAGCAGCAGACGCTAATAATCTGAGCAACAGAAACTAGATGAAACGCCATCTAAAAAGCCTTGGCCGTTGCATGCACAGTTCCTGGACGCTTTGGATACTCACGGCTGCTAAAGTGCCCCCCACGTGATCTATTTGAACCCACACGCACTTATCACCACGCAGAGGGGACATGCATAATATATATATATATATATCCAACACATATTTGGGAATTTATATCTATGCATTTATACGCGCCTTGCCCCTCTGCCAAGCAGCCCAGCGAAGCCTTCCTTCCCAGCGCAGCACTAACCCTCTGAGGATCGTCAAGGGGCACTCTCAAGCACACGTAGAGGTGGCGAAGTTGTGCTTGACATTGATTAAACTGTCCAAGATCTCTATGGCGCAGAGCAAGGCGCGCGTTCTGCTCGTAAACTTCGCGAGTAAAGGAGTTGCAGATGTGCTGCACTGTCAGATCCTGCCGCAGACTCCGAAACTGCTCGTCCAGGTATACCCAGCCCTTGCTGCAGCTCCCCCCAGACTTGTCTTCTCCAGCTGCTGCAACGTCTAACAAAAATGCCAGCGTTTTGTGCAGCACGTGCTCTGGGCGAACCTATCAAAGAGCCAGAGAAGCATGTACACATACATACATATATATACATACACATACTTAGACATACATACATATACTTAGACATACATATATATACATACACACATGGATACACACACATACATACACACACATATATACATACATACATACGTACATATACACACATACATACACATACATGCATACATATATACACACAGCAGCAGTAGCAGCAGCTACACCCAAAGACTCGCGAAATCGCCTTTACACAGGCCCTCCCGAAGAATACCGACAACCAGCACCCCAAAGGGCACATACATACACATAGACATATACAAATACACATAGATATATATACAGATATACACTTATACATAGACACACATATATATACATATACGTGGACAGACATACAGGTACACTGCACTGTACAGACAGTACATACTTCATCCACGCCTACAAAACTGTGAGGCAACATATTCCTCAACAGAGTCTGCACGCAAAGCAGCTCATGAAAGCAACGCGAGGCACACACACTTGAACACACATACACACTCACGCACATACACACACATCCACACTTACACACAAACACAAACACACATAAACACACTTACACACAAACATAAACACACTTACACACATTTACACACACATACACTTACACGCATACACACATTTACACACAAACACACTTACACACACTTGCACACTCACACACATACACACTTACGCACATACACACGCATACACACACATGCACACTTACGCACATACACCAACACACACACACACACACTTACACACATACACACATACACATTTACGCACATACACACACTTACACACCCTTACACCCATACAAATGCGGCATCCGCGTGACAGAGTATCGTCCTACGGCCAAACGCCCAAGGATGGGGGAAGGGAACAGCCTGCTGGGGAAGGTTTGTTTGAGAATCGCAACTAGAACAAAGCATCCACCCCCTCAAGGGCTTATACACACAAAAGTTGGATACGGAGATGCAGCTTGAATCCTATAACGACGTGCATGCATACAGTCGCAGGGTCTGGAGCGTTGGTGAGTCTTAAGTACGGCTTCTCGATGGCAAGGTTGCGACCAACAATCCGTTCAGTGCTCTTTGCCAACTCCAACTTCTCCTCCCAACTCATAGGAGTAAATGAGGAGGGGCTTCCTGCCGCCGATGCTTGCAAGTGTTGGTGCTGCTCCTGTTGCTGCGACGCAGCAGCAGTTGCACAACCCTAACGAGGATTTACCCTCTCAAGACACGCGTTTCCAGCCGCAGCGCCCTTTGGCACAACAAAGGCCAAGCTGCTAGAGAAGACAGCGATTTTTCACGTCTCCACACGCGTGCCAGCAGATAGAGATACACAGATAGGTGTACTATGCTTGTGTGTGTGTGTGTGAAGATGCACGTGTACTACGCTTGCATGCGTGTGTGTGAAGATGCACGTGTACTATGCTTGTGTGTAGGTAAGCGGGTTATTATGCGTAAGTAGCGAGGTGTACAAGAGTAGGAATGGCTGTTGCAGGATCAACGCGTCTTCGCGCGCAAGTGCTTTTTCTGCTCAGTGCATGCAGTGTGAAAAGGTGGTGTTCCTCTCTCCCCCCCCTTTCTTAGAGCAACTTTATTAACTTCCATAGCCTCGCTTGCTCTGCAGCAAAGCAGCCAATTTCAGATGCGCGCACACCTGCAACTTAAAGCGCTGCAATCTGCACAAGCGTCTCCTCTGCTCCTCCACCGCTGAGAGACCCCCCAGTTCCTCCGACCTTCGCGCAGCCACAATTCTCGCAAAGAAGGAGCAGCGAAAAATGCAGGAGGAAAAACGCATGCAGTATACACTAGAGGCGCTCTGGTCTGCCTCGCAATGCATCTCTGGAGTCGCTGAGCTGGTCAGAACGGCCTGGTTCTCGCAGTCCCCTTTCATTAGAGAGAGAGAGAGAGAGAGAGAGAGAGAGAGAGAGAGAGAGACAGACAGACAGACAGACGCAGTTGCTACCGTGGCTGCATATAAAAAAGCCATCGAGAAATTCCCTTCCTTGCACCTGCACAAAGCCTTCCCTCCTAACGAAAATTATACCCAGACAGCACAACTTTAGCCAATCGCCCTCTTTTCCACCACCCCTTCCGCAGTAAAAAGCCCCTCCCCTCCCCCCACAGCGCCCGTCGCTCCTGCCGCTTCGCCTTACCTCCGACTTCCCCCTTTCTTCATAGACACCGAGCGACCCTCCCCTTCTGCCGCTAGCCGATTCTCTCCGCGTCTGTTCTTACTTCCCGCCTTCCCTCCAGCGAAAGAAGCGGGCAGCTCCACCCCCCCACTGCCTTTGCCGGAAAGAACAGCCTCCTTCCCAAGAAAGCGGCTCGCCATCTTCCCCACACTCTCCGTACAACTCGACGATGGACCGCTATTCTTGTCGTGCTCTAAACCGCCGCTCTCACGCCGGTTTGCAATGGCTGCACACAAACAACATGACTGCAAACATCGGAGGATCAAAAAATTAAGCACGCTCATGTCTACGTATGTACGCATATATATGTGCATGTATGCATATACATATGTATGGATATATATATGAATAAATATACATGTATATACATATATATATACACATATGTTAATATACATATATATAAATATACATATATATACATGTACATACATACATCTATATACATGCATATATTCATGTGTACACACACACACACACATACGAAAAAACACATCCATACATATACATGCATCTACATATATACACATACCTATACATACAAACACATATACACAAATACATATGCAAGCATACACATAGGTAATTTATATAGATGCACACATGCCTCCCCCTGCTGCTGCTGATCCTTCTTGCACTTCATATGGCGAACCTTCAACAGCCAGAGAAGCAGTGCCAGCAACAATTGCAGATGATGACGATGCCACGGAGGAGGAGGGCTACAACTAGCCCCCTCAATAATACCACCATAAAATTACTATAACCATCAATAATACCACCATTAAATTACTATAACCATCAATAATACCACCATTATTAGTATCATTAACAATACCACCCATACTGTTATTACCACCCATACTGTTATTACCACCCATACTGTTATTACCACCCTTACTGTTATTACCACCCATACTGTTATTACCACCCATACTGTTATTACCACCCATACTGTTATTACCACCCATACTGTTATTACCACCCTTACTGTTATTACCACCCTTACTGTTATTACCACCCATACTGTTATTACCGCCCTTGCTGTTATTACCAATACTGTTATTACCACCACTATTATTGGCACCCCTAATACCACTATGACTACTAATACAACCACCAAAGCCATAAGGCATCAGCTTTTGAATCTCGGCATGCACCTGCATGAACGGATCTGCCAACGAAGAGTCCTCTCTGCTGCTGCTGCTGCTGCTGCTGCTGCTGCAACTCCTGTTGCGGCTGCTGAGGCGCATGCCGCTGCAGCCCATCACGAGTCAGAGACGGCTTCCCCAGGTACTGTTGCATGTCTGCCAAAGAGGGGACAGGCTTTGAATTCCAAGATTCGAATATCCACAGGCCGCCTCTGAATTCACTAGTCATTCGTGCAACATAACTAAAGAGAACCTCCGCAATGGAGCTGTTTCCACTAACCACCTGCAGGAGCACATCCAGCACGCTATATGTATATATATTCGTAGATGCAGATATGTACATGTATATATACACATAGACATACATATATATTGCTTTTCTGCATCTGAAAGCCGTCGAATTTTCTGCTGCCAGGATGGAGGACTGCCCTCTTTCTTACCGAATACTGCGCATATACGCGATTTATCCATCCTGCAAACTCTGCAAAACCCCTCTGCCGCTCCTGCTGGTGGCCTTGTGGCTGTATTTGCTGTTGTTGTATTTGTTGTTGTTGTATTTGTTGTTGTTGTATTTGTTGTTGTTGTATTTGTTGTTGCTGTATTTGTTGTTGTTGTTGCTGTTGCTGCTGTTGTTGCTGCTGTTGCTGCTGTATTTGTTGCTGCTGTATTTGTTGCTGCTGTATTTGTTGCTGCTGTATTTGTTGTTGCTGTATTTGTTGTTGCTGTATTTGTTGTTGCTGTTGTTGCATCCCAGAAGAGCAACTTGGAGAGGTGCCAAGAACGTCGAAGCGACGCTTACGCAGTGGTCGTGGGGGAGAGCTGCCCTCAGACGTCGCTGTTGCTGCTGTTGGTGCGGTGGGGGAAGTCGCAGGTACACTGGAAGGGCTGTCATTAGCTGCCAAGGTTCTGAGGATGCTGCTCGCGTCCTCCTGTAAGCTCGCTTCGGGTTGAGCAGCTCCTGGCAAGGCGCGTGATTTGATGATAATGCTGAGGCGCTGCTGCCTTTTAGGGGGCGCTGCAGCAGATGTTGCAGCAGCAGCAGCTGCTGCAGCGCTGTCGAGCGTTCCTGGCTGTTGCTGTTGTTGCTGCTGCGCCTGCTGATGCCACGGAGGGAGTTGACTGGGAGCAGCAGATGCAGCTCCAGAGTGCTGCTGCTGTTGCTGTTGATGCCACGAAGGGAGTTGACAGCCAGCGGCAGCAGATGCAGCAGCTGCCTGCTGCTGCTGCTGTTGCTGCTGCTGTTGCTGTTGCTGCTGCTGTTGCTGTTGATGCCACGACGGGAGTTGACAGGCAGCGGCAGCAGATGCAGCAGCTGCCTGCTGCTGCTGCTGCTGGATCTGTGCGAGCTGCGTAGCGTACGACTGTCTAAGGGAGTCAAAAAATCCATTGGTTTGCAGCTGTTGCACTGCAGCGGCTGCAACCTGCAGTGCTTGGTCAGGGCTGCTGCAGCTGCCTGCAGCCACGAGAGAGTGGAAGTAGTGCGTGGTGTACTGCTGTCGAGCGAAATCCAAGTAAGAATCAACGGACATGACAGCCTCTGCAGGAGCATGTGGCGAGGCAGCAGAAGGCAACAGGGAAGGAGCCGGAGCTCCCAATCCACGGGCTGAAGCCGAAGCCGCTGATGCGGATGCAGCAGCAGCTATCCAAGGCATTCCGAAAGGCTGCAGAGGGGGACCCCCTGTGGAAGCACCTGGGGGAAATCCATAGCCTGGAGGGAGCATCGGCTGTGGCTGCTGTTGCTGCTGATGCAGCGAGTAGGGCTGCTGCTGCGGCTGCATGTTGCTGATTTCCAGCGGCGAAACCGCGGCAGAACTGCTGCAGAGGCTGCTGCTGCCGCTGCTGAATGTGCAGCAGCAGCCACTGCAGCAGCAGCCACTGCGGAACGCCCCGAAACAACCACGCGCAGAAAGGAAGAAGGGAAGATAGGCGGGAGGAGGAATCTTGTCAGACAGCCGTAATATTTACCGGGAAAAGGCCAATTTGCGGCAGCAGCAGCCGCATGAGCAGCAGCAAGCAGCTTAGGCGGCTGCCGAGCATGCGAAGAGGTCCCTCGCCGCTACCCTGTCGGCAGCCGCAGCACATTCGTGGCTTCAGGATAGAACCACGCTTGCGCCTTGTTTATATAAAAAGTGCACATTAATTGCTGTGAGCACGCGCATTTGCAGTAACAGCTACTGGAGAGGCGGGGGGGAAGAAGAAGGGGCTTCTCGACGGGCAACAACACTGCCCTCTCTGCCTGCCAACGCCCTCTGCTGGCGATGCAACTGCTGCTGGGTGAGCGCGATACGAGGAGGCATGGCCTAGTGCCTCTTTGAAGGGTAGGAAGAGCAGTTTATCGCGCAGGCAGTGCTTCTCTCGCGCCCAAGACATGTTGCTTGCCGTGCGCCAGGCGAGAGAGCCTCTCTAGCTGTTTGTGCCGCCATGGGGTTGTTCGTACAAGTTTGCAGCCGTATCAGGTATAGGTACGCTGTATCCGGTATAGGTACACTGTACCAAGAAATCCCGAGCCGTTGCCCCTATAAGTGCTGAGTTGCCTTCGCACGCCTGCTGTAGATTATGCATTTAGCGAAGCGCGTAAGAGGCGTCGCAGACACCACAGAAGAGGCAGTACCTGATGAAGGAGATGCTCGAAAGCCTCACTAATGGTTTCGAGCTGCACATCGGGTAAGCAAGCGATGAGATGGCGCTCTGACAAGCGCTGTGCAGGAAGGGAGGGGGGATTTCACGCGGCGTGCAGTACATCAGTTTAGAAGGCTTCTTGGCGAGAGTGCGCAACGCATGCGAATAGGCGCGATCTCGGGGTTTCCACGCTTATTCGCAACTGTTATCCAGCGGCTCTCTGGCATGTAAGCGAAGACTGCGGTGGCTGCCCTTTTAACTGCCCGAGAAGTAATCCAGGGAGTGCAACTCCCTTTTGCTGTGGCACTTAACTTCAGACACACTACAAAACTCATCAGGAAGTTAGTGAGTGGAGTGCCTATCAACAGAAACTTCCTCTTTCCCACGTCCAACAAACCTTAGAGCTCCCAACGTGAGAGGAGGGATAGTTGAGATACACGGAGAGGCGCGCTGGGCATGGGCTCACGTCATGCCCATGCCCAGCTAGTTGCACAAACAAGCATCTCAATGTAGCATCTCGCGCGCGCCTGCACAACATTGCGTCTTCTTGTATAGAACCAACAGTGTTTTGCAATCGAGGGGATCTACGGACAGCCAGATAAATCTGTCAATCGTCGTTGATTGTCAGTTAAACCGAACTGCTAGTGTAGTAAAGAGTGCCGGAGTGCAGCGTGGCCCTCTACAGTCAAGCACGGTAAAAGGGCATCCTAGTGCCTCCCCACGAGCACACAGTGTCAGGCACAACTCCACTGCCTGCTAAGGTCTCCCCACAGACACCCTGTAATGGCTCAAAAAGGTTCCCGTGCACCCTCCCGTCCAAGCTGTTTTCACCCCTCTGGAGCCTCGGACGAGGAAATAGACAGAAAAGAGAGACAAAGAGAAAGAGGGAGCGACAGAAGAGAGAGAGAGAAAAAGAGAAAGAGGGAGCGACAGAAGAGAAAGAGACGAAGAGAAAGAGGGAGCGACAGAAAAGAGAGAGAGGGAGTGACAGCTGGGGTGCTTGGCTGTTGCTGGCCCCTTAGGAACACTTCAAGCATCCCTGTACATCCAGTTGCCAAAAGCAACAATATTAGGCGCAACAAGGCACACCGTATTGGCTCTCGTTTACTGGGCCAGTTAAGTCTCCTCGGTAATAACAAGTTGCATGAATTCCCTCCGACAAGACGTGCGTTATCGCCAATGTGTTGCTGATCCAGGCTTCACTATTGCTGTAGCCTCGCTACATCCCGCGACACTTCGTGCTACGAGTCTGTGGCCTCCGCATACCAAAGACTCTCCAGATTAGGTGGACTGTGTGTAACACGTGAAGCTTCTTTCGGATACACTGGTTAGCGCATTGCGCAAAGTCTCCCATGCAGAAAGCCAAACCCGGGAACCGTCAATTATTCGCTGATTGGCAGTTGCATATCGAGCTCCCGTAGAGCGACGCAAAACACCTTTGGGTTGAGTCAAGTACAATAAAGGAGGTCTTTGGGGGAAACTAGAGGGAGGCGGAGCGATACAGCAAAAATTGCTGCGGTGTACTAACACTACGGGTGCGTGTGCGGACAGTTGGTATGCCTCTTCCCCGTGGGAGCTATGCACACAGAGAGGTTTATGCGAGAGTGGTGCTGGGCGAGAGAAGCGGGAACGAGTTTGCACGCAGTCTCAGGAAAGTGTGAGGGTGCCTGCTTGCACGAGGAAAGGAACTTTGCGTCAAACTACCCCCCAATAGGCTTTCCTGAGCGGAGGATTTGCGGTGTCGATGTAGCGCTCCTTGCCCTCCAAGCTAGGTGGCACGTTCAGCAGGGGAGAACTAGGTATGCCCTAGCTTGCTTGAGGGAAGCGGTCATAGGAGTGTTGCGAGATGAGGGTTGTTGTTGCTTCAACGGAAGCGACACAGGAGGACTTCTATAGCCGGCTGGGGAGTGCTTCGATTCTATGCAGTGCGTTAGGGAATGAAGAAAAATGAGCCAACAGCATGTGGGGAGAGAAGGCGCAGCGCACCTCTTGATCGTCCTTCATTTTGAGACGCAGTCATGCACAGTTCTGAATGCTCACATACGTATGAACAGACGTATTTTTCCTCGGAAGTTGAGGCCTCCCGCAGCACCACGAAGTCAGAGCTTTTGAAAACATCAGCAAAGAACCATCTCCATAGGTGCTCTGTGTTCAGCTGCAGCAGCACCTCATAAGCGCCTTAACCCTCTCCTTCCTCCGAGAAGAAACTGGGCTGCTGTGATGCCATGGCCTTCCTTCTTTGCGGCAGCGCTTCCCGTTCAAAGCACGCGGCAGTCAGCAGCGCAGTGCTGTACAGCTGCATAGCTGCCGCAGCCGTCCCAGCCACTGCCAAACAAGAATAAACGTATCTAGAAGAATAATGCGAGTATCAGGATATTTCTTTCGCGCGGAATTTTTGGAGGCTAATTTATACGCGTGGTGTTCACGGCCTGCGGACGGGCAGCAGTGAGACCCCTATGTGTTACTGAGGAAGGCGGCAGGAATGTGTAGTAGCTTAAATTCTCTGAGGAAACCAATGCCATGCGTCTCTAGTAAGGCGCTGTGGCGATAGCAGCAGAGCCGCACGCACTCTCGCGGCAGCCCACAACGCAGCAGTGCAACTTTTACATCGCCTACCCCTCTCCAACCGCTGCAGCAGCAAAGCCAGGTTTGAGGTAGAGAGAGCTTCGAAAAAAGCCTCGCAATGGAAGGCGAGAGCTGCTGCTCCTCATAAGAATCAGTCTGAGGGCCAGTGCGCCTTGAGACAGCGTCTCAGGAGACGGAGTTCATTCGTCTCCTGGTCGGCAGCAGTTTCCCCGCTGGTGTCTTTTCCCAGCACAATCAGATACTGCAAAGCGTTCAGCAACGCAGCCGGCTTGACAGAGCTACCCACTACAGTGCACTCTTCATAGACGCCTGCACAGACAAGCGCACACTCACTCAGCAAGCAGTTGATGTTTTCAAAAATTTTCAAGCAAGTTTCTTCCTGTGCCGGCATCACGGTGGCTTTCTGGTGTGCTGCTCTCTCTCTCTCTCTATATATATATATATAAATATATATATATCGGAGAAAACCTCCCGCGGCAAGCTGAAAAGCTGCCTTTTCACCCGGATCCTCCATTTCCAAGTCAAATGAGCCGCTGACGAGCACTACGGGAGGCAGTTTCATAAAGCCTTTTTCCTCCCTCCCTCCCAGCCTGCCTCCCTTTCCCTTCTAAACTCTGCGCAGCGGCTAGCGAGCAGCGCACGCCGAACAACACCACCCCACTCGGGGTAAACAGGGGAAAGAGGGGGAAGGAAGCCATACTCTTGAAGAACCGCTTGAGAGCCTCTCTGAAGCGCGTTGACACCTGCAGCGAAAAAATAAGAAAGCCCACACATATTACCTCATAAACACACACACACACACATACAGAGATGCGCGCATGCACCACATTTCGCGAGGATCCCCCGTAGACAACACAACAACGCTGAACAGCACCAAGCTCTGGAAGGGGATTGGCAAGTTGGAGGAGGGGTAGGTAGCAGCAGCAGAGGGCCAAGACTCAAAGGTTTCTGCCTGCATTTCACTGCACACGACGCGTGCAGACACCGACCGCATTGAAGTGCATGACGGTGGAAGGCTGCAGATGTTGCCAGAAGTTTACGAAGCGCAGAAACGCGAATGTCTGCAGCAGCGAGAACACCACGAGATGCGGTGGTGTCGACTGCAATAACGAGACCGTCATGTTCGCAGCATTATCCGCGTGCTCGTCGTGGTGACGCAGCGAAGAGGCAGCTGAGGGAGGAAGACAGGGCGATGCAGAAACAGCAGTATTGTCTGTGGCAGCTGATAAGACGCCTGATGCAGCGAGAGGCAACGGCTTCGTTGCCACGGAATGCAAAAAGAAGGGCAGGAGGATGCCCTCGTTCAGGAGCGCTAGGAGCCAGGAGGTGACGTTGATGTCTGCATCCAGCGAATTCCACGCAGCGCAAAACACCCTTGCACTATAAAATCCGATTCAAACCTCGCTTTACAGGCAGGCTGCCATGTGTGGAAAGAGAGGAAGAGAGACACGGGCAGAGAAATACAGACAGAGAGAGAAACAGGGATACAGACAGACAGACAGAGAGACAGAGAGAGAGAGAGAGATACAGAAAAAGAGATACATACAGGTAGATAAAGAGAAACGCACAGACGGAGAGCAACAAACAGACAGACAAGAATGCGCATTCGTGAATATGGAGTGCAAGACAGCCAAGGTGTCGGTTCGCGGTGAGAGGCATTCTAGAAGGCGGAACAGACTAAAATGAAGGCAGTGATGAGAGATCTGCAACTGCGGAGGGGGGAGCAGCAGAGGGAGGCGCGGCTTACGTGTCAGCGCGAAAGGAAGTTCAGCGTGCACTCGCGTCTCTTTGCACTGCTGCAGCGCTTCTTTCGCCTCCCTGGAGAATTGGAGAGCTGTGAGATATAAACAGTCAAGGCAGAGACGTCCAGCAAAACGAAAATCTCTTACAGGGCACTGAAAGCCTAGAGCTGCCCAGCTAGAACTGCTGTCTCGCTGCATTTGTTGTTTGAGGTGACCCTTGGATGGAGTCTTGGGAGGCGTTGACGGAGAAGCTGCTTCTTGCTGCTGCTGCTGCTGCTGCTGCTGCTGCTGCTGCTGAGAAGGAGGCCCTTCAGCATCGTGGACGTGTTGCGAGTCGCTGTGCAGCAGCGAAGGAGGAGGTGGGCCCTCTTCTAGCGCTTTCCACACAGCCAACAACTTCTGCAGCAAACAGAGCGCAAGCCTCCGGCTTCTTTCTTTGACTGGGGACGGAGAGGTGGTTGCCGCGTTCAACGCAGCCACCAAGCCCCCTCAGAGGACTGCAAAAGCACTGCCGTGGCACTACAGCAACGCATCACCTGTTCAGTCTGCGGGTGGGAAACGTCAAGCTTCTGCTGCTGCAGCTGCTGCAGCAGCACGATCTTCTGGTTCGCCTCTCTCAGCCGTGTGAGCGATCGCAGCAGCAACGAGCCGGCAACGCCGTCTGCCACGCGTCCTACTCTTGCAAGCAACACTGCTGCGGCTTCATGAGTCAGAGATGGAGAGAGCACTGCCGCAGCAAGGGGCTGAACGGATGCAGCAGCAGCACTAGCAGTCAACAAACCCTTGGAATGCAGTGTCTCAAACAGCTGCCTCCCATGTGCGAAACACGCAGGACGGCGAAAGCGCGGCGCCTTTTTGGCAAGCAAGCAGCAAAACACGGCATTTTCATCAAACACGTGTACAGGTTGCAAACCATTTACCTCCCTCCTTTTCCCTTTTCTCCCGTTCTTTATACCTCCCCTCCCCCGGATGCTCTCTCTGTCTCTCTCTGTCTGTCTCTTTCTCTCTCTGTCTGTCTCCCGCCTTTTTCTCTAAGGGCCTCTCGCCTCGCCTCGCCATGCTTCGGAATGCGTTTAAAGATTTTTCTGCTTTCTCCCCCCTTCCTCTGCGAAAGGTTACCTGTCCATCTCTCCCATTCGTGGTAATTAGAAATGCATGAAGTCGCAGAGGAAGAGCAGCACCAGTGTCTTCCGATTCTGCCCGGTAAAGAGGTTCTTCCTCCTCCGCCTCTCCCGCGTTTGTTGACGTCGAACGAGAAGCGTCACAAAGCCCTCTGGCAGCAGCTGCTGCTGTTGCTGCTCTTGCAGCAGCAGTAGCCGCAAAGACAAACAAGGAAGAGAATGAAGGGCACATACACGAAGAAGGGGCTGTGCCAGACGCTGATAGCAGCAAGCGCTCCAATCGGCTTCGACCTGTAATAAAAGATACCACAATACGTGGGTGGCAAAAAAATAAAGATGCATACCACAACACGTGAGCAACACACACAGAGAGAAAGAGACGCACACATACACCACAACATGCAGGCGGCACATATGTATACATACTATAAAACACACACTCCCCCAACCAAGGCAACACAGAGACACACAAACTCAAACATCCACCGTCAGCAAAATCTCAAAAAACGTAAGCTAACGCATGTACATACACAGAGATGCAGCGCCTCGAGATTAAATGCGTGTTCGCATAGAGATCTGTGTAGAGATGTATATTTGACATGAAATGCATGTAGATAGCTCATATGCATCTGAGCATGCATGTATATATCATGTATATCTGTAAGGTCAGATGCACATGAGCGCTAACGAATGCTCTAATGAATGCGGCTGGGCGGATTGCCGCAAGCACACGCAGGCTGCCTCCAGAGATCGGAAGCAAAGCGCACAGAAAAACGGAAAGAGTTGAAGGAAGCGAGGGGGGAAGGAGAAGATAGAGGAGAAGAGAGTATGAAGTTCTCACGAGTTTTTCAAGCTTACCTGTAATGGAAGAAACGAGCCATTCGAGCGACGCGCTGCAACATACGCAGGGCAGTCCACCTATTAGACGCTTCCAAAACTTGTTAGCACGCCTTCGCGAGGATGCCTGGCTAATGATGGCTTGCGATTGCGGCTCCTGTGGAGTTGTTGCCTGCAGCAGCTGCTGTTGCTGTTGCTGTTGCTGTTGTTGCTCCTCACGTTGATGGTGGAAGCGCTGGCGAAGGCTGCGCCGAGGTGACACCGCAGAGAGTGTCATTGGCACTCAGAAAGATAGACAGACAGACAGACACCCCCTTGCCTTCTCGCAGCAGCGGCGAGAAAGCAGCGGCTGGGGCAGGAGAGTTGCTTGCTGCTGCCGCTGTGTTAGCGGGCGGCAGCGAGGAGGCAAGGCAGCGAGGAGGCGGATGTGATGTTAGGGGGAATATAGAGGCCTCTTCTTTTTTTCTGTGGAGAAAGGCGCGAGCGCAGCCAATCCAGAGAGGAGCGTGCCCCCTTACATGATTTGTCTCTGAATGTGGCGTTGTTGTCCATGCCACCCCATCAGTAGTTGCTGCAGAGTTAGTGCATCGGGGCTAGGCGAGGGAGCCGTGAGTATTATTTTCACCACGTGCATAGACGCGCCGGAAAGAGCTTCCCCCTACGCCTTTGCGCGCTTGAAGCAGGAGAAACAGGAGCGAAAAGGAAAAATAGCCGGCTGCCAAGGGAAGCTAAGAGGAGCCGCACGAAGGATGCGCTCAAAGAAACGTTGCAAGCAAGAAAAAGCACAGAGCAGGCAACCCCGAGGCGGTGAGCTTCTGGGGGAGGCAGATCTGCACGCACTGGCGTTCGCGTTGGGTTGCTGGGGAGCACCCTATGCGTGAAAACACGCCTTAAGAGCAAGATTTAGCGAAAAAAATGATTAAAATGCCGCGAATCTTCTTCCTAGAAGCTTCCTGCAAAGGGCCTCCGACCATCCCCTAGCAGCTTCCCAACCCTCCTGGGGGTGCCACTGCCCATTCAAGCAGCAGGCAGCGTTCGTATTGCCGCTGCATGCTCGAGGGGGAGCATGAGGAAAAAGGAAAACGGCAAGACGCAAGAAAGAGAGCCTCCCTCATCTTTGCAGCCATGAAAACCAACTTCAAAAGGCTGCCAAGATCAAGAAACACGATGCCAGGCACCCGCTTCTTTCAGAACCCTTGAACGACATCATCGCTTACAGGCTGTGTGTGAACGACACTGCGCGCTGCCGACAGACGCAGCCGACGCTTGTCTTTTCTCTGCGTGGTACTTTGCGGCTAAAATGCTCTCTTTTCCCCCAATTACACGACAAGATATATATACAGACGCATACACACACACACACACACGCTTTGTGAGCTCCAGATTCATGCGCTGTCGATCTTTCTCACTTACTCTCTCTTCCATTCATTCTTTCTCTCTCTCTTTCTTTTTCTTTCTCTTTTTCTTTCTTTGTCCTTCTCCCTCTCCGGCTGCTGTAGCAGCACCAGCTGTAGCAAGCAGAAGCGACCACCCTCCTGTTCCGCTCATGCTGCGTGCCTTGCAACTTTTTTTCGCTGCAGCAGCTCCCGCGATAAGGAAGGTGATCTTGAACTTGATCGCAGAGCCTGTTTGTGAACTGGGGCTCTAGAAGGGCAAGGAAGAAGAGCGATTGCCTTTGTTTCGCACGCTTCGTGCAAGAAAGCGACTTGAATTTCCCGCATCATCGACTGCGTCACGGCCTGCAGCAGGCAGCATGTGGCGGCGCTGTACACCCCAGCCAGGGGACAAGCAACAGGCGTTGCAGCAGCAAGGCGATTTTCAAATATGTTTCTTTCTGCTCTACTAGACCGACGTGCCACGACTAAACAGCAGACGCAGCAGCGTCGCACCAGAGGAGATGACTTCTTCGAGCTGCAGCAGGCCCTGCAGCAGCACCGCAAGCAGCAGCAGCAGCAGGAGGAGGCACAGCAGCAGCGGCAGCAGCAGGAGCAGGAGGAGGAGACACAGCAGCAGCAGCTCTGTGCGGCATCCCACGCATCCGTTCCGCCTTCTTTTGCAGCACAGACTGCGCCTGCTGCTGCTGACGAGCAGCCGCAGAGATGGGGAACCTCCCAACTGCTGCCTCCCCGATGGCAGAGCAGAGGAAAATCCGAGTCGCTTCCGTCTGCTGTACCGCAGGCAGCAGTCAGCTCCGCGCATGCTGCGGCTGCTGGCACTTCTGCCGAGGCGCATGTCAGGCAGTGGGGAGTTGATCAGGGAGTTCAAGCTGCGGTAAGAGAAAGCCTCCAACAGCTGCTGCTCAATCAGCCTTCACGGGAGTCTCTGGAGCGGCGTCTCTACTGCCCGCCAAGCGGAAATGCAGCAGCACGCGCTGCAGCGACAGCTGCCGCTGCAGCCGCAGTGCAGGCGAAGCTGCAGCGACAGCTGTACCTGAGCGACTCTCTTCAAGACCTTTTTTTCGCACTGCCCGAAGCAGACGCCGCAGCGATGCAAGAACTGCTGCTAATGCCGCCGCAATGCAGCTACAACAGCAGCAGCAGCAACAACAATGGCAGCTGCAGCAGCAGCAGCACTCAGCTCTCTAGAGGCAGCAAAGGGCCTGTGGTAATACAGCCCTTGTCGCAAGAGGCTTTGGCATTTCTGCAGACAGTGACGTTGCTACCCGTAGAGGATGCACAGCAACTGCAACAGCAGGAGCAACTGCAACAACTGCAACAGCAGGAGCAACTGCAACAACTGCAGAAAGAACAACAACTGCAACAGCAGGAGCAGCGATCCCTCTCCGTCGTGCTTGAGCAGCTGCAAGAGCAGAGGCGTCGTGTCAAGGAGAAATTGGAGCAGCTCGAGATGCAGGCATGTGGACAAGAGGCAGCAGAATTGAAGGAGGCTGCTGACTGCATGCAACGATTGGAGGCAATGGTTAGCGAACTGCAGGATCTTCAGCAGCGGTGCTGTACTGCACAGCAACAGCAAAATCAGCAACAGCAAAATCAGCAAAATCAACAGCAGCAGCAAAAGGGCGACATGGTGCTGCTGCAGCAGCTGCACGGTGCTGCTGATGAGGCCTTTTTGCAGCGTCGCAAGGCTGTCTTTTTAGATCGCTTAGGCAGTGCTCTTGAAGTGCGTTGCTTTTCGCTCCGCCTCCACAGCGCCTGCTGCTGTATACTCTCCTCTGTTGCTGCTGCTGCTGCTGTTTTTGTTGTTGTTGTTTCTGTGCGGCTGTCTTTATCGTGCTTTCTGGTGTATGTTGTGCATTTGGGTGTTGTGCTGCTGCTACTGGCCCTTCGGCATCATTTCTCGGCTGTTTGATCCCCTGCGTGGCACTGTCGCTGTCTGACTGCCTTCGTTTATTTGCGCAGCTTACAGAGGCGGCAGCGGATCTGATACGTGAGTGTGAAGTAGCCTCTGAGTCAGCAGCGGCTGCCACAAGAGCAGAAGGAGCAGCAAGAGGAAAAGGAGTTGCTAGAGCAGAAGGAGGTGCTAGAGCAGAAGGAGTTGCTAGAGCAGAAGGAGAAGCAAGAGCAGAAGGAGAAGCAAGAGCAGAAGGAGAAGCAAGAGCCTCAGCCTCGACAGGAGTATCTGAAGGACCAGAGGAGGGTATTCGGAGTAAGGAAGCCACCTTGCTGCTTGTGCTGCAGCAGTTGGGGGGATATCTGGCAGCCAACGCGCTGCCTCCCCATAGCAGCAGAGTTCTCTCACAGCGGCTGTTGACGTTGGTGCCTCGCTGTAGGAGTTTGGCGCTGCGAAGCGCTCATAAGGCGTTGCGAGTTTGTCGTTGGGGTCGAGCTGCTGCAGCTGCTGCTTCCACTTCTTCTGCTGTAGATACAGTGCAGCAGGTCGGTTCGAACGCAGGAGGAGGAGGTGCTTCAGCGGAAGCGAGTGAGGCAGCGGAGACAGCCGCCAAAGTTGAGGCAGAGCCAAACGGCAGCAAGCAGCGAGCTGATCAGGCAACTCGCGAACGGCTCCTGCATGCTCTTGGGGCTTTGATGCTGTTGCAGCGTCTGCAGCTGCTCGGCGAGGCGGTTCTTTCGGCAGCAGAAGCGGCCATAAACGCCGCAAGAACAGGAGAGGGAGAAGGAGAAGGAGCAGCAGCAGACGCCACTGCCGTTGGTATCCTTGGTGCCACAGCAACAACCGCCTTAGCAGCAGGAAAAGCCGCAACAGCGACAACAACAGGAGCAGGAAAAGCAGCAACAATAACAACGACTCCCCCTGTAGAGACAGCGATGCGGAAATACGCTCAACTGCAGCCGCTGCAACTGTGGGGAGCAGCAGCGCTTGCGCAGCCTCTACTGCATGCCTTTGCCTTTTTGTTTATGCGACCAGAAGGGGGGCCTCTCCAGCGTCTAGACAGGCCAGATTGGGCAGCAAGCTTTTTGTTGCAGCTGCTGCAACAAGTGCAGCAGAGCACCGCGGAGAGTGGTATCCTCGACTGGAGTTGTTGGCGTGAAGGATGCAGCAAGTGCAGCAGCAAGTGCAGCCAAGCGTCAGAACGCGGTGGCGAGTGCCTTGAGGGGCGTGAAGAGCTGCAGCTTCCTCCTGAAGCGCAGCAATGGCTAATGATGGCACAGCCGGCTGTTGTCAGCAGCGCCGTAAGCGCCGGCAGCGTCTCCAAGAATGCGGCGGCGACATCGGCGAAAGTCTTGGACAGCCTTGCAGCTGCTGCAGCGAGCGAGTTAGAGCCGATATCGCTCGTGGCTCCATTCTTGGCGAAGGCTTTCCGCTTGTTCCTCAGACACAGACTGCCGTTCCTAGTATTTGCCGCTGCTGCCTCAGACGCAGAGAGCGCAGTCTCGGGAGAAGCGGCGCCTCCCTTCAGCGGGAGGGCCGCCCTTGTGCTGCAGCACATTCAGCAGCTGCTGCTGCTGCATGCACACTTCAAGATCATCAGCAACAAAGCAGCAGCAGAGCTGATGGAGGACGCTGACGGCAACGTGCCAATCGAGTTTTCCTGCTCTTCCTCCTCCTCGCGAGAGGAGGAGGAAGAGAGCACAGAGAAAGAAGGGCACTTCCACCTCCAGCAGCAGCAGCAACATGAACAAGAGACCTTCACCTTTGCGAGCACAACGTGCAGCCGAGTGCGAAGAGAAGCGACGGAACCGTCGGCAGAAGACTCCTCGGCTAGCAGCAAGAGCAGCAGCAGTGATGAGGCAGGAGCGACAGGCGCAGCTGCTCCGACGCGAACAACAGCCACAGCACCAGCAACGAGGAGACAGGGTATGTCATCAGAAGAGGCCTCGTTGCAGCGCTCTACAGCCTCCAAAAGGGCACGCGGTGAAACAGAAGCATCCGTTGTTGAGCTGCTGCAGTCTGCAGAGCCTCTCTGCGTTCCTCATGGAGTCTGGGGATGTTCTCTCCCTGCGCTGCCTCTCTCGAGAAAGGCACAGCCGTCAAAAAAATCCTCTATTGGATTCCTAGAGTACTGGATCTCTCTAGACGCGGCGTTCGCTGAAAGAGAAATCAACACAAAGGCAGCAGAAGGGGCCACTACTCAGCACTCCTCCCTAGACAGCCACAACGGCCCTCTAACCAGGTTCAAAAGAGCACACCATTGTCAACGCAAATCTCTCTTGCTTTCATCACCTTTGGCGCGCTCTCTTTCTGTCTGTATTTGTCTCTGTATCTGTCTATTTCTCTCTCTCTTTCTGGCTATCTTTCTATCTCTTTCTGTCCATCTATCTCTTTCTGTCTGTCTTTCTATCTCTTTCTGTCTGTATTTGTCTCTCTATCTGTCTAGCTTTTATCTCTTTCTGTCTATTTGTCTCTCTATCTGTCTATGTCTCTCTTTCTGTCCATCTCTTTCTGGCTATACTTCTATCTCTTTCTGTCCATCTCTTTCTGTCTATTTTTCTATCTCTTTCTGTCTATTTGCCTCTCTATCTGTCTATTTGTCTCTCTATCTGTCCATCTCTTTCTGGCTATCTTTCTATCTCTTTCTGTCCATCTCTTTCTGGCTATCTTTCTATCTCTTTCTGTCTGTCTTTGTCTCTCTGTCTGCTTTTTTTCTCTCTCTTTCTCTCCCCCTCTCTTCATGTCACCTGCTCGTACCCACGTCTACCCCTGCCCCCCTATCTCCTTCCCCCCTCCACGCATGCAGTATGAGATCGAGGCTTTGTTCCTGCACTAAGGTCGAGAAAAATAATGCTGGGAACGATTGAATTCTGTTGTGCATCTGCTTCGCGTCTTCAGTGTCATGGCATCCGTCGTTAGTGGCCTCTTACGAGCAGCACACCAGCGGATGTCTGCCTTAAGTGCCGAGCCGGCACTAGACTCGTATTGTAGTAAGAGGTTCTCCCCTAATGCTTCTGCATCTGCTTTTGCTGCTTCTGTTTCTGCATCTTCTTTTGCTTCTTCTGCTTGTGCATCTGCTTTTGCTGCATCTGCTTTTGCTGCATCTGCGTTAGCTTCTGCTTCTGCTTCTTGTTCTTCCTGATGTGGCTTTAAAGGCCACATGCCGGCATCTTCTCTGCACACACCTGCAGTTGAAAAGACGCATTAAAGGGGGCACGCGATGGGAGGGAAGGCAGCGACACTGGAGCTGCATTCTCCAGCATAGTTTTAATAAAAAGAGATATATATATATATCTCGTCTTTGTGACAACGACGCCTACTACTTACTACCCCTCAGACTGCATTCGAGAATTCTCTTTCTTTGCGTGCCCAACTGCTGGAAGGCTGCGCGTTTATCAGCCGCTGCTGCATCCACGAGTCTCTCTCTTTGCACATCCTCCTGCCTGTCTTGCTGCATCGCAGATGGCGTCGTTAAGAAGGCATTTGAACTCTTTTGTCTGCATACAAAGGCCTCATGGAATGCCCTAAACGCACTTGCGCCGCATTTCTCCGTTTGTGGTCTCCTTCTGGAGTCTGTGATTGCTGTTGCGAAGCAGCTTGACGCTATGCCAGAAGCACGTCGAATTTCCCATGTTCGTATTGTTATACCCCTGCACTATTGTCTGTTCCCTCGGCTGCAAGAAAAGCCGACAGAGCAAAATAAATCAACGCGTTTTGGCAAATCTGCGTGCGTTATACGCCGATATGGCCTCCACAGGACGTCACGGAAGCAGTCAATCTGTCCAACCTCATGCTTCGACATCTCTCTGCAGAAGTCTCAGAATATCTCGAGGTAGGCTCCTTCAGCCCTCCCCCCCACCCCCCCCTCTTTTCATCGTTACGGCTCCTTGTCCCCTTACACAGTGGAAAGAAAGAAATATATGCATATACATATACATACAGTTGCAGTTACATACACACAGACATATAGAGACAGGCACAGACACAGACATATACAGACACAGACATATACAGACACAGACATAGACACAGACATGTACATATATCTAGAGATACACACAGACACAGACACAGACAGACACACACAGACATGAACACACACAGACAGACATATACATATGTATATATATTATATATATATACACACACGCAGGCCCCTCCCTCCTGCATCTGTATCTGCACCTGTCCCTCTGCTTTTTGTTTCCTGCTGCATCTCGTATAGCTTCTCCTATTTTGCGTCTCTGCTGTCACGCCTAGCCTGCGATTGACGTTCTGCCTGCATTTCCTTTGGTCTGCATGTGCCTTCAAAATCATTTTCAAACGAAACAAGATGTCATCTTTTCGCCCCTAGCAGAGGCCTAAGTACTTCTGCTCCTACATATCCTGTTTGTGCCAGAGATTACACCTCCCCTCCTGCCGTCATCAGTGTGCTTCTGCGACATTTACGCCTCTGTTGATTCGCCTCCTTCCGGCTTGTGCATTTTGCGATTCTTAGGGCCTTCCAGCCTCCTTAGCAGATCGTCTGCCGGCGCTTGCGCAGTTGCTGCCTCTTATTACCTGTCAGTCGAGACGCACAAATTCACGCATCTGTATATATATATATACATGTGTAGAAATTTATGTCGCGCTAGTCACGTTTTCTCGAGAAGCAGCCACCCGCGAGGCAGTTCGAGGGTTTCTACCAGTGCTTCGCACGCACCCTGCTGATAACTCTCGCATCGACTCCATCTGTCTAGCGATCCTGCTTCTAGACAGCTGCCTCTCTGTTGAGCACTTGGTTGGAGTTTCTTGCGCTGTTCGTCCATGAGACCATCTCCACCTTCCTCTTCTGCTTCCTAGCTTCTCCGGCTCGCCAAGAAGTGTCCTCTGCTTCTGCACCTATCTGCACACAGCTGCCTGTGCCTGTGGTTGCGCGTTTAGCGCTGACTGCAGCGTTGCAGCCCGTTCGAGCGACACAAGTCCAACAGCAAGTATGCAAATACCTCGACGCATGCAATCAAAGAGAGCTCTCGCAACGCCTCTCAGGGGAAGGCCGCATTGAGCAGAAGCGGCAGCACCTTGCCACTTTTCTCTCCGAAGGGTTCGTTGAAAAACGGCACATACTTGTCTCCCTTAGCCCGCCAACCGATGCCTGAGAAGCAGAGGCACAGGCATTCCCCCTTCAAGCACGCCGCAAACAGCAATTTCTCAGGCGTCTTGCATGAAACCTCTCTATCCGTAGCAGCAGCTACACCTGTGCTGGCCTCCCCGTATGTATGTATCTGTGTGTATCTGTGTGTATGTATGAATCTGTGTGTATCTGTGGGTATGTATGTGAATGTATGTGTCTGTGTGAATGTGTGTGTATCTATGTATCTGTGTGTATGTATGTGTGTATGTATGTATCTGTGTGAATGTGTGTGTATGTATGTATCTGTGTGTATGTATGTATCTGTGTGTATTTATGAATCGGTGTCTATGTATGTATCTGTTTATTTATGGATTTGTGTGTATTTATGAATCTGTGTGTATCTGTGTGTATGTGTGCATATGTATATATTTGTGTGTATGTGTGTGTCTGTATGAATCGGTATGTATCTGTATCTATGCGTATATGTATGTATATATTTACATAGGCCTGCGTGCGCTCCCTTTTTTCTGTGCGCCTTACTGGCTTCTCAGCGCGGCTTTGCAACAGCAGCTTAAGAACGGCCTTTTTCACTCGGAAGCATTTCCAGAGGATTTACTGCCCTTCACATCGGTGAGGATGCGGAAGGAACAGGAGCCACAGGCATACGCAGAGCAGCTCGGTTTTTCGGTTTATCGCTCCAGTGGACGTCGAAGGCGTGCGCTGTTTCTTTTTCCGCCTGCAGGCTGCTCTAAAGCTTTCCAGTGTTTCCCCCAGCAAGATCTACAGTCACCGCGAATTGCTGCAAAAGCTGCAGCAGCAGCAACAGCAAACCCAAGGCAGCCGCGCAGCTGCCACAGCCGCTGCAGCGTTTAGCAGCACTCTGAGGTGTCGTTCACAGGCCTCTTGCTCCTCTCAGCTGTCTATTATAACAGCCTTCTATTCGCAGCCTGCTGCGGCACAGCCGCTGCGCTTGCAGCTACGACTTTAGCGTACAAAGCCCTCCACCTCCGCTTCCTGGAGCCTTGTTTGTCTGCTGCGCGCAGATCTGTGCAGCAGCAGGCTGCCAGTGTCTGGAAAGCAGCCGAAGGTACCCTCAAGAAGCGACAGCAGGAGCAGGAGGATTCCGATAAGGCCACTGATCTAGCCAACGAGTTTTGTAGCGCCTTTGCGGTGAGGCTCCAGCTTTTCCTTTTGCAGATGCTATCCAGAACTGCGTGTGCTGCTCCTCTTTCGCGTCTAGCGCCTTCATTCGCTCCTCTGACTCCCTCTGCGTGTCACACAACTCGTCGTCTCTCGAGAAGCGGTCTTGCGAAGAGTTTCCTCTGGCTTGCGGCTGCAGCTGCCGCCTTTGAGGCTGCCTGACGCAGTGCTGCTTGCACAGCTGCTGCTCTTGACCCCTCTCCAGCAAGCAACGGCTTGAGAGAAGGCGGGGTTAGCCTGCGCTGAGAGCTGTGCTGTGCGCTTACTCTGCCGATTCCCCCTGTCCTTCCTCTGCCGTCTAGAGAAAAGCCAGGCACAGGTGGCTTCGGGGAAGTCTGCGCATTTCAGAATAGCAGGCGCTCCACGGACGGTCAGTACACGGAAAGCCGAGCGAGCGACTTACGTTTTGTGGGGGAAGAGGGGGAGGGGGTCGTCTTTGCGGAGCAGCGAATATCAAAGAGGTGCTGCTTTATCCCCGCATTCCTAGACACTTGTCAGCCCTCTGCAGTGTAGCGTTGCGGTAGCTGGCGAGGCTGACCTTGCTGAGAGCTGCACTGCTTCAGCGAAGTCTTTCTCCTCAAAATTCTCCGAGATACGAAGCGAGAGGAAGGCGCATCTTGTGATGGCCTTTTAGTGAATAGCGCGCGCGTGCGCACGCAGGTGCCAACACATAAAGTGACCTCTCACCTTAGGAGGCTTTACTGCAGCTTTTCCCCACTCTTAAAACGATGCCATAATTCTTCTCAGGCCAGCCTAAAGCATATCACAAAATGCGGTGCGACGCAATGCAGAGAATCGATTGTTGACGAGGCACTCAAAAGCACTTTTTTCTCTTTCCTTCTCTCTTTTACTATTGCACAGGCACACATGTACACATGTACAAACACACATATGTACACATGGACACACACACATGTACACATGTACAAACA